GTTTCCTTGCTAATAAGTTTTAGTTTAAAGCTGTTTTATATTACTTACTGTTGGGATACTTGGGCTGTAATTGTTCAAAATTATTGAAATATTTAAAGTGGTTTAGTTTGACCCGATTATTGGTGCTTAGTTTGGAATTAAATTATGCTAGCTGTATTGAGTTACCTAGTTTCAATAATGCATTCGGGATTATGAAAGCAATGAGAAATTTACAATACCAGATGGCAGTGTAAGCCACTTGCTACCTATATCTTACCAAGATATGATAGTTAAGGTGTACTCCAAAAGGTTGAACTGGTTAGTTATCCTGTACATGTTTAAACTTCTTTCCTTTACCCATTCGGGTTGGATTCACTAATATATTGCTTTGTGCAATCCTATAGGTGCGAGACAATTTCAGAGGCTTTTGAAAATTTTCAATTGAAGACATATGGGATCAAAGCACGGGCACATTCAACACCACAAAAGAAGCGACGTTACAATTCAGTTTTATGAAGGAAAATGTATCATTACTATGATACTAATTTTTTTTTTTGTTCACCTTTATTGTGTCTCACCCTTTCTTGGTATATATGCATTTTCTACAATTGAAATATAGTCTTAAGTCCACGAGAAAACAACATATTCAAATGTCAACATATTCAAATGAATAGTCATCCTACTACAAGTCAACATGACACTGACAATATACCAGAGGACTAATTTTCAATTTTATGATATTAAGACTTTGAATCTTGATTAGTTGTTAAGTTCTTAAGTTTCATTTGTGTTATGTTTGGATGAATTAAGCAGGTACAAATTTTGTAAAATTGGATATACAAAATTTGACTTTAGTTCTTAAGTTTTCATTTGTGTTATGTTTGGATGATATAGCAGGTACAAATTTTGTCAAATTGGATATACAAAATTTTAAACGAAAATGTTAAGATTTGGTTAGATTAGCGACCGAATTTTTGGTCGCTACAAATTTATTATAATATACAATTCAAATTTAGCGACAGATTTAAATTATTAGTTAAATAATTCAATTAATATATTAGTGATCAGATTATATCCAGTCACTATTATTGTTAACTTTGTCTCCAATTTAGCGTACCGATTTTAATTTTTATTTAAATAATTATATTAATATATTAGCGATTGAATATATCGATCAGCTATTTTTTAAAACTTTACCACGGATTTAGCGACTAGATTTAGCGACTGATTTATTATATTAATTTCGGTCAGCTATTTTGGTCTTCAATGAATAAGTGACCAAATTATTTAGCGACCACCTCATCGGTCGCTATTTAGCGACCGAAATGTAAATCGGTCGCTAACACATTAGCGACTTGCCCTTTTGCGACCAACCATTTCGGTCGCTAACAGAATAACGACCAAATTTTGGCCATTAGCGACCGAATTTTTCGGTCGCTAATAACGTTTTTTTTTGTAGTGTTGTGATATGACCTTGCTAATTTAAAATAGTAGTAAATATACTATATTATATTGAGTCATTTAAACTAATATTTTTTATTTTTAAATATAGAAAATGAGGCCTTAAATATGTGAGAAGGATAAGGCCCATGCCTCAATATCTTATGGTCTACACGGTGGTGATCATAGTTTGTTTAGGTCCAATTTAACTTTAAGTTTGCCCTAATCTTTTAATACAAGTGATGGAATTTCTTTGGGGCATAATAGAGTCATGTCCTCCAAAATTTAACTGTGAAGAGAGGCATGTTGAGTAGATATTTTTTTTTTTATTTACGAGAAAAAAAATGTAATATAAATTTTAGTGTTATTATTAATATACGTTTAATGTGTTGTTTTACATTTATGAAATTGTTAAAATAAAAAATAATTTAAATATATTATTTTTTTAATTTATAAATTTATTTTAAAAAAATAAAATCATTATGGTCAAAATTTCCAAACTTAAAAAATTAACCCTAACCTTTTTATTACAATTTTTATTTAAATTTTTATTTTATTTTATACTTATATATATTGTAATTTATTTATTTATTTTTTATCATCTTTTTTAGTTAATATTTAAAAAAATGTAATCATAAATATTATCAACTGAAAATAATTTTATTTAATTATAAAATTCAAAATATTTGTCTATAACTACAATCTTAGTATGGACTATTTATTGCTAGAATCCATGATGTTAGCAAACAAAAGGTATATTTTCTTTTCAATATAATTTTATTCCATAAATAAAGTGATAGTTCCATATTTAATAATTATTTTATTTTATTTTAATTTTATATTTTAAAATTCATAGAAATTTATCATATTATGAGTTATTTTAAGACTTTTTTTTCTTAAATTAAAAAAGTAATTGAATTTTGATGTGATTATAAAATGTTAATAATTTATATGTGGTACATATCTCCGCCATTAAATGTAGGCCACTTAAGACAAATAATAAATACACTTCTCCTAGTTATTAAATGTTTTTCTAATATTTTACAATATACTTTTCTAAATTATCTATAATTTTTAAATGTTTTAAATCAGAAAACTTAAAAATTATGATTTTTTAAACAAGACTTATTATATTAAAATAATATATTTTATTTTTAAGTACAAGAGAGTCAGTAAGTATTTTCTTTCCCTCTCCATCTATTCGAAAGGACTTCAGAAATATATATATATATATATATATATATATATATATATATATATATATATATATATAATATTATTATTATTATTTGTAGTTATATGTTTATAACGTATTTAATATTTGAGTAAAATCAAATATAAAAAAAAAAGTTTTTTTTTAAAAATATTTATTTTTTAGGACCACTAATAACATTTTTTTATTATTATATAAACAAAAGTTAATTCAGAAACACTATTTTTAATTATTAAACAAAGGAAAATTGGATAATAAAATTGTCAAATTTTAGTATTATCATAATAATTATATATAAATAAAATTAACGTTAAAAATTAATTCTCCATCAAATACAAATAAGAAAATTATATATTAAATTTAATATAAAATTAAATTATGACGGTAATGATAAATTTAATTCTCCATTAAAATATATGTAAGATATTACAAACACTAAAAAGTGTCATTTGAGATTTTCATCTACCATCATTTCATTCCATACACAAGTAGTTAACCAAAAAAAAAACACCAAACGCAATTATTTATAGTCTCATAGGAAACAAAATCTAAATTATATACCATAACTAAAAGTATATTTTAATGTTAATTTTAATTATATAAAAGCAATCACTTAATTTCTGTAATTGAAGTCCTAAAGTAGTAATTAAACTCTTTTAAAATCATTTGTGGATGTTAAAACTAACTTAATATACCTGACATGCAACTTGGTAAAAGAATTCACAACATCGAATATGTTAAAATTGTTATTAACAAGAGTAGACATCTTACTATTCTTTCATACGGATTAAGACCTTCTTAATTTAGTTAGGTTGACCTAATCTTATATTTATGTAGTTTACTTTTCTTTTTAATGCAAAAAGAGAAGAGAGAGTATATGTTCCACAGCATAGAAAAAAGAAGAAAGCAAATTCCGGAAGAAGCGGTCTAATGACCTAATTTTTGTGTGCTCTATGCACTCACTAGGCACAATGCACTTACAAATAATAGAACCTTCATTTCTTGCTTTTATGAAGGGTGACAACAGATATTGCTTGTGTGGGGATGCATGTTCCATGAAGAGTTCCAAGTAAATATAACATATCTGGGTCAGGGTTTATCTGGTGAAGCACTATATATTAATTTATGTTATTTATGTACATGTTTGAGTTAACGTTGAATTCTTGCTAGGCCTGGAAAAGGAAAATGTGACTCCAATGGATAATGGGATGCATGATGAAGTTGAGAATTCCTTTGCAATGTAGATATTCAAGTATCTTTTCACATGAATATGTGAATTTTGAGTTCTAGTGTCTGACTCAGGGAAGTAGTACATGACGCTGAAGGAGGAGAAAATGAATGTTAGCTTAGGTTTTAGATCGCAGTTACGTTTGTAGTCTTAAAAAAACTTTAATATTGTGAAAAAGAAGCATTTGTTTTGACCCTCTTCATTAATTTTGCATCAGAGGAAGTGGGTGGTACGTGATGTTAGTGGGTTTTCATAGCTTACCATTTTCTCATGCACTATTAGTCATCTGCCACTTCTAAATTATATGCACCAAGATGCTGTCATCAGTCCCTATCTGACCTTTGTGGGAAGGACTTATATGAAGCACTTTAGGGACTCGGAAGAATATACTTTTTGGTCGGTCAATGATTCAGGTAGTTTAACATTAAGGAGGAAAATACGTTAATGAAAAATAAAATAAAAGAAAGAACGAAAGAAAACATGCAGGCCAGTAACTTCTTGCAGAAATGGGAAATGATAATAATAGTTAAAGAAATATATGACCTGCTAACTGCTTGCAGAAAGATTTTTCCAACTAATAAATGCAAATTCTAGATGTGTTCAAAAACTTTTGTTCTGTCTAGAAGTTATATAATGATATGAATTGGAAACCTTTTTAGGTATAAATAAATTATCTTTACTGACAAAAAACGGAGACCTAAAATATTATGAGAAAAAAAGTGAGTACTCTTATCTGACATGGGTTAAAAGATAAAATTGTAAATATACACTTAGATATATTAAAAATGATCATTAAGTTTGAGGGAAACAAAATCATAAATTATATGAGAGTTACAAAATTGAGGAGGAGGCTGAGAGGATAAAATTATAAATATACAAGTAAATATATTAAATATTTATTATGTTTAGGGAGTCAAAATTATAAATTATATGGGAGTTACAAAATTTTGGAAGGACCACGACCCCCTCAGTTCCCAAAAAGATTCGCTACTGTCAGGTACCAACTAGATCCAAAAATAATAATTTTGCATTTCCCAACTCCATGAAGTTGTGAACTTCCCAAAACCTACTCACTATTAGTGTTCCATAAAAGAGAAAATAACTTTGGGAGAGAGAAGAACTTGAAATAAAAAAAAATTCTTATTCAATAGAAATAACTTTGCTTGCTCCATTTTTAATTACACACAAGTCATATATATATATATACTCACTAATACATATATTAAGAAACTATGTAAATAAACATATTAAAAAAACTAAGAGAGTCTCATAAAATATTACTATATAACAAAATATGAATAAAATATTAACCTAAGATACCCACTTTAGATTAAATAAAAAAAAAAAAGAATGAATCCTTATAAAATCTGAATCAGATCCTAATATGATTTCCAAATAAAATCTATAAAACCCTACTTACATTTACAAATCAAACTTATAAAAATTATAACTATATGTTTATAAAATCCTCATAACGCTCTTACTTAGTTTCATTAAATACTATTTTTATTGTCTGTTAGCTTGTGCTCCCATGTAAACAGTTACATTACATCACATCGATTTGTATTTTTTCTTCCTTCGCACAGCCCAGACTCTTTAATACTCCTATAGATGAATATTGGCAAATGGTGTGTACAACAAGTTGTGAGAACCCTTTCACCATGATAATATATAATTAATATTTTTTGCCCATAAAATTTACATTTCTTGGAAAGAATTTCAATCTTTTGTTATTTACATTTAATGAATTCTTTTTGTTAATGGATTTTATATGGTTGGTTAGTTTTAAAGAAGTTAATAATAGGAAGATTCTTATAAATAGATTATAAGTCAATTATAAAAAAAAATATAATATCACCCTTAACTCAAAATTTTAAATATTAAATTATGAGTCTTTTTATTTATAAAATACTTAATTATTATATAATATAATAATAAAAAAATATTTAAGATGATTTTCAAGATAAACATATTGTTTATTTTATAATAAAAAAAATAAACAAATATATAATTTTTGTAATGTAACACTTCTTTTCTTATATTTTCACATATATCTGAAATACCCTTCAAAGAATAATGGTTTCAGCAAACAAAGAAACCCACGCGTGCCTACCATAAACTCTTATCAGTAAAAGAAGATAAGTTTATTAGATTGACTTCTATATATGACTACGAGACAAGGATAATTTTGCTGCACATGTTAGTTGAATAATAATTTTATGGCAAATTTTGCCAAAATTTCAGTTCAATATTAGATCTTAATTCGACGCTTCTTTTGATAAAAGTCTAAAAAAATTGTTTTGACTTTACTTTTCTTAGGGTTATAAATAATAAGTATTTCAGTCCTTTTGTTATTGAATGCCTGTTAAAAATTAATAATTGTGAATGTATATTTTATTTTCCCTTTTAATTACCTATATATATATGTATCTAAATTTAATTTAAATAATATTAAATATATCATATTATAAATAGAATTATTTAATATAAATTTAAAATATAAGATATATATTAAAAATATTTATTTATAATTAATAGTATTAAATTACAACATTTTTTATTAAAATATGGTATATTAATGATTTAAATTATACAGTAAAAATAAACATTTATTCAATATAATAAAAAAATAGTTTAGGAATGACAACATATAGATTATGAAGAAGAAGAAAAAAAAATTTAAATGGTGATATTGTTGTTGTCTCCCAACATTAAAAAGACTAATATATAGGTGATAAAGCCTAGTATAAACCATTTGAAGGTTTTATAATTATTGGTTTGATGGAAGATGGCATTCCTAGTCGATTTCCCTTGTTGCACTGTCCCCTTACATGAATCCACCTGCTTTGTCAGACGCAGTTCACATATCTTGTCACGTGATTGGACCAGTGTTTCTATCAGTTCTTTTATACCAAAAACAAAATAATAAAATAATTATCAAAATTGTAAGTTAAGTCCAATATATATTATTAATAAGCAACAAATGTTTTTTTTAATGGTAGTTCACTTCAATAGATGAATAAGAAGTTTCGGCTTCATTGGGATTTTTTTTTAATTATATAAACCATATATAAATTTAGATTGGTTTGATTTCAAATCTTATTTTAAAATTGTTAAAAAAAGATTCCAATAGTTTTTTTAATATAATTATTCTTATATTTGTATTTTCAACTATATTTCATATTGATTACATCTAATTTGGTTAAATATTTTGTTTTTTATGATTTCGTTCATCTTTAGAGTTATTTATCTCTATTTTTTAAAACTTGAATAAGTGTGATGTATTTTTATATAATCATGATAATGTAGATATACACGTCAATCTCATATTAATACGAGGTCAATCAATGTAATCACATAAATATTATGTGATATTTTTCGTTGGATAATTAAATAAAATTAACAAGAAAAAACTACATTAATTCATTTTTAAAAAATTGATATTAAAAATTGTCGTTATTATTTTAGTTGACTTTAAATATGTAATATTATCATTATTAATAATGATAAGAATACATTTTTAATATTCCTAAAAAATTTGAAATCCCAAAATAATTTTTCAATTCATTTGTTTTTTTAGTTAGAAACTTGATTTGAAAAAATTAAAAAATAATTGGAAAAAACTATTTAACCTATGATTTAAGATTTGAAAATTACAATATAATTTTTTTTATCATCTTATAAATATTGTAGACACAAAACGTCCATGAAAGTTTGTGAGTTACAGTGGTTAATTAATAATTATCTCAAAAACATATATTTTAGTATAATAAATGGTTTGATTTGGTGTATTTCATACTGTAAATCAAATCATTTAAAAAAAAAAATCAATCTTAATCCATTATCCATTTTGATTTTGTTTTTCCAATAACAAACACTCCAAAACCACCACTATACGTTGTCATTAACCTCGTGCCATATTCTCTTCTCTTATTCTGACGATCATATAAATGGCTGATTGTATTTTCTACAGCTTGCATGCAGGTGCTATAGTATGTGTAAATTCTTCTCCCTAGGACAATCTTTCGGTCACGATTGATATAGAAACGTGTTGAAAATATAAAAGTATATTATTTAGCAAAGACAAACGAGTATTGGTGAGAATATCCAAACTTCATTCTGAGGTCAGGAAGAATTCCAAATTTTAAACTATTTATGATTTTGTCTTGTAGGAAAATGAATATAACCTATTTAACTCAATTCTTAAATGATAAAAACTTGTTAATATATTGAAACATATAATTAATTTGAAAATTTTATTAAATATAAACATATACAAAACATAAAATACTAGTATACAAAGTCATTGTATTATTTGTATGCAAAACATCAATATGGTGAATCTCACTGTCAAAAAGGGTTATGCGAACATCAAAATTTCAGTGGGTTAAATATGAATAACCTAACACGTGTATCACGTTCGTTGTACATATGAATATGCAGATACCCATTTAAACTTTATCACACTTGTTCATCTCTAGGTATAACCTGTTTAGCAAACGTGACTATTGAATTAGATTTTAGTGTTGCCATGATGAATACATGTGGTGGGGTTATCTCAAAGCACGCATGCTTGACAAGAATTTATCCTGAGAATTGTACTGAGATGGTAATAGCCACCAGTTACCCACCAAAGCATGCACCAAGTGGGTTTGATGCATGTGGACGCTTTCAGTTGTCCTGATTAGCATGAGGACAAACAAGTGCGTCCTCACTCCGCAGAATTGAAGTGGGAAATCTGATTTTCAACTCTTGCATCATTATCAGAAGCAAAGTCTTTTGTTTCTTTCTTCGTATCATGTTCTGAACCAGAAACAAATATATGTGTCATTCACAAACGTGCAGTAAAATTTGAATTTTGGTTATTGTGACATCTAAATACTTAAATTGAATATCACCCTTGTCTTTAAAAGTTTAGAACTCATCATTTGTCTTTAGAAGATCCCATCATCAGGTGAACCTGTCCATTCAGTCAGTTTTACTAGGATGTAACGTCAAGTCACCAAGTAAAATATCTGTTTATTATGGATCCCATTCTAAAATTAAAGAAAATCTCCCTAATATGCATTATATTTGGTTTGCTATTATATTAACTAAAATTTATTAAAATTATAAAATTTTATATACATTATTTATCATTTTTTATTAATATTTTCATATTTCACTATTACCCATATATAGTATTTTAGACATCAGTTACTTTATATTTTTACAGTAAAATGTAGAATTGACATTGAACCGATACAGTTTTCACATGCTTGAAATTATAATAATATACAAAATTAGACCCATCAAGAGTAAAAACAATAGAAAAAAAGTATAATTTGTATGGATATAATTGTATAACAACTTTAAATTCATTGAAAATCTTAATTTAATCATAAAAAATTATCTTAAAATAGAAAAATTGTATTCACCTATTTATCTTTAATTTATAAAATATTTTATCAAATTCCTTATTTTAAAAGATATTTTTTTAATCATATCTTCTCATTTTGAAGGGATTTTTTTATCATACTTTTTTATTTTAAACAATTTTTTTTATGTCCTAACATAATTAAAATTAACTTTGATATATTTTAGAAATATTGAGATTTTTAATTCAACTTTTCAATATCAGTCTAAAAGTAAAAATTATAATGATTTATATATTATTATGTAGTATTTTTTATCAATTCATATTTTTATTCATATGTATATAAAAATACATAAAAAACATGTTCCTGGTTCGAAGTCATTAATATGGAGACAGAATGGAAGGAAGCAGCATCGATGAAGGAAAGAATTTTTTTTTTTCAAAATTATATATATATTAATTGCATAAGATAAACATGTTGGAGTGAAGTATAGCATATGGGATAAGTTTCATTAATTAAGTTGACTAATATATGAAGGTAGAGAGAGACGCATATATATTTAATATTTTAAAAAAAAATTGGATTTGATGCTTAAAACATATATCACACTTAGCCTTAATGAGCTTAATTGTTGGACAAATATATCCACACCTTATCTAACCTTTGTTGGACTTGATTTGGAAATTCATGATGCCACAACAGTTTGATGCAATTAAGGTGTTATCCTTTCCTGGACTAAGATATTTATTTTAGAAACTCAGTGCTAATCCATTTGTTTAAGACGTACGAAAACTGACGAGGGAACACATGTACAAAGTGGAAGTGTGACAGATGATATTCACTTTTCAATATTATGATGTTATTGGTAACATTGTGAATATTACCTGTAATGAGACTTTTCTTTTTAAATATGTTTTTCTTTATCAGATAGATCAAAACCATTTATTTGTTCACTAACTTGCCATTATCTCAGAAATATCTTATAATGTTGCAGAATAAAACTTGCTAATAGTTTCTCCAATTCAGCAATGCAAAATTCCATTTCATCTGAAACTGAAACACAGTGAAGAACTCAAAGGTTATCCACACACGGTGTGGGAAAAACAGCGCTATGATTAAAGCAGAAAACATTGGAACATGTCATGAAACGAAGCAAAATACTTTGCCTACTATCCACATTCAGGGATAAGTAATGCACCACGTTTACCTAATCTACACTGCACCATACCAAAACATTGGAAGCATATTCAGTAAACAAAGCCTTGCTTCTGAAGCAAATTATTATATATAAGGTGTGACTTTAGAGGATAGGGTCATCAGCGGAGTGATGGAGGGCACTACCAAAGATGTTGCTGTACTCTTACCTACATAAATGTCACACACAATGCCCTACTGAATCATTATTCAGTAGGTATTATAATCTTTTTTATGCTTTGAACGTATAACATATACCTACCGTGTCTACTGGTGTGGGGGTTTAAAACCAAACTTCAAATTTTACATTGGTTACAGGTAGTTGGTTCTGAGATGTTAAGACACGGAAATTAATGGAAAAAAGTTGGTAAACAGTCACGTCATGAAGCAATTATTGTGAGAGACTTTTGAAAACAAAACGTAATTATATTTTCTTGTCCTGCGCGGCTCCATTGATAATGACTTTGGCTTTGTTAGGTTTATAGACGGTGAATGGATGAAGAAAGGGAAAGAATTGTGAGAAGATGATGAGGTTTCATTGAGTTGAACCGAGTGTCAATGAGATGAAAGATGTTAATGTGTGGGTGGATGTTGAGAATGCGAGAGAAAGATTTTACAAATCTGTTTTTCTGTTTTGTTTTATTTCAAAGATGATAAGTTAAGGGTATTTTCCTTATAGGTAGTGCATTTCTGAATTAATTTTACAATATCGATTTAATAATATTAAATTTTATTAACTCTTTTATTTTAAAAATAATTTTTTATTATATTTATCTATTTTAAAAAATATTTTTTCATATTCTAATATTATTATAATTGATTTTAATATTATTTTAAAAATATATAAAATATTTAATTTAATTCTATAAAATCAGTGCAATAAAATAATAATTATATTTATTATATCAAAAGTTCAATATAAATTTTTTTCATCAAGAAGAAATATTTTAGTCGGTTTCTAAAAAATTGGATTTTATAATTTCGATAGCACTTTTTATAATTTTTAATATATTATGTCAATCATATAAAAATATTTTTGTAAGGTCGAGAACTTTCTATAATATCAACTTTCAGATTTGTAACGCGTTTCCTTACTTTATGTTGATAAATACATAAAATATTCACATAATTTACCCTTCGAGTGGAGGTTTTGTCGGTTTATTCGCAAAAACATACTCTTACGTTCAATTAAATAAGATATAATCTTGAGTTTGATAACTATATATATTCTGATCCGTGTGCTTATAATCATCCATGTGGCATGATCCGCATGGTACAAAAGATCACTACAGAAATTAACAACCAAATTTAATGGAAGATTTAATCATCATTCATACAAAGTTAACATTTTATTTTATAAAATAAATATCTTTGAAGGCTAAGACACAATGTCATTAGAAAAATAACTCTCAAATAAAACATATATCTATCTTTTTCTCTCATTTAAAAAGAAAATTCTATTATTTAATAAAAGTTCAAAATTTTATCTGATCTAACTCAATAATAAGAGAATGTCAATTTACTTTCAGACTATTTAACTACGGATTTTGAGTCTGTTCTAAAAATTATTATTTATGAACTTATTTGTGGGTAAAATAAAAATATTTGGGTAACAATTAAACAAAATCCTAGAATGGAGTCTCTCAGGAATTCTGTCGACCCTTTATAAAATAGAAATTACCCATTCATTAATCCGTCAATAAAAGATTCCTATTTACAAAACCACTTCGTATTTGAGTGATGATTATAAAAAACTTGTTATAAGCTTTTTACTTAGTTGGTGTTTCGTGTTTCTTGAGTTTCTCTTATCAAGTAATTTCACATGAAAAATTATACATAAGGAATTGCTGCTACATTGTAGGTGCTTCAGAAAAGGTAAAACATCATTGACTAGTACATTGGGTGATTCCAAGAGGCTTATATTGAATTGAAGAATTAGATATGCCACACTTTCATTGTTTAGCATGTTCTAGTTTTTGGAAAACGATTGTCAACTCTTTTTTCTTTTTTTCTCTTTTTATTTGTTTTTAGCAAAATGATTGGATGAAGGTGCTGAAAATGAAACGTACATTTACACCCCTTAATTAACCATCAAAAGTTTGATTAGGTGGAGTATTATTATGATTGAAATATGAATATTGTTTCAGAAATTTAAGATGGTATGAATTGGAAAAATAGGATAAGCCGAAAGCACATATGTTTGATGTGGAGGAAATGGAAGAATAAGTGCATGAATGATGATTGACGTGAGATGAGTGGGAAAAGAGTAGTTTGCAAAGCATGGGGTTAGAGCCACAAGAAAGAAGACGTTGGGCATATGAGGACTCACGTATCTCATTCATTCATTATTATTCCACGCCACCCTCTCTCATCTCATCTTCTACAATTTTTTTTGTTTTCATCGGATTTCCAATTTCAATACAAATACAGTTTTCAATTTTTAGTTATGTTTATTTAAGGATAAATACAGTTAGCTTTAATAACCATTTAAAAAATATCTTAAATGCTTATATAATTATTATATTTAAGAATAAGAGTGTTTTGATAATATTATATTATCACTGTGTATGTAAATTTTAAAATTGGTATCATTTTTTCCTTAAAAAAAATGTTTTTATAAATTAAAACGAAGATGATGCATATGAATTATATTTAATTTATAATCCTATACGATGTCAAACATTCGGAAACATCACGTATTTTTTTTAACACTTTTTTCTATGCCAAATAGATAATGTTACCACTAAAATAGATAAAATATTACAATAGTTGCAAGTTGTAGAATCATATCAAATGTAATCTCATATTTAATTGAAACGTGTTTTTTTTTTTTAATAAAAAGGTGTATAACTCTATCTTGTAAAATAATATTTAAACTTTACCTATATATTATAATTATATTAATTTTAAATTTAAATATAATATGATATTAAAAATAATAAAAATTAGTATATGTGACTATTATTTGTATAAAAAATTATAATAATAAATAAATTTATATACATCGATTTGGATGACTGACCTTTTATATCTTATTATAATTTGAAGAATTTCTCTATTATTTTTATACTTTATTTTTCCTATATTAAATTTAAGTAGCAGTGAACCTCTCTCTTTTAAAAAAATCTCAAAACAACATCAATTTATCTAAACTTATTTATTATTATAATTTTTTAATAAAAATAATCATTAAAATTATATATTGTTTAAAATGCAGTTTATATAAAATTCGGGATACTAACAGTTTAATGGATTCGAGAGAGTTGTAAGTTTTTGTGATTTGAGTAATAAAAACTATTTCCATCATTTGAGTAATCAAATTCATACTTTTTAAATTTCTGAAACAAATCCTTTGAGAGAAGGGCGTGGAGGAAGACTCTTCCGAGAACGAAAAGACGCTGAAACATATCATGTGCCGAGCTCGTGGGGAGAGACTAACCATGGAAGACGCACCAATACTTGTCATGGGAGAACAAAGATGTGTTTAATTAGTGTTACGTATTTTCCAACGGCTAGCAAAATATATATATTAAATATAAACATATAAATTATATTTTCTATTTATTTTGTTAAGAAAAAACTCAAGCAAGAAAAGATCAAAACAATTATGAAAATTTGTAAAAAATATTTACTCTCTAATAATGTGAAAAAGAAGTCAATTCACCTCTAGCAAAAGATATAAATAAAGAAATGACATTGTTACTATGTGTATTCAATTTCAAATTGATACAGAAAATTTAGCCTAATAAAATTGTTTTTATCCTATTCACTATAACAAGTGGTTTAATATATATTTTCTTAATAAATCTTTATTAAATGTTGTTTTTTTACTGATAATACTAAATTACGTATTCATAAATAATCAATTTATTCTAGTTTGATATATTCAATTGTGAAACTAAACAATGTTAATACAAAGAAAGTGTTATTAAGTATATTGAAAGATAATTTTATTAGTGACATGTTTAGTATTGTTCTAAATGTCAGATTATTTAATTATAATATATGATGTTTTTTATTTTGAAAGATAGTCATATAAAATATGAAGAAAAAAATTAAAGAAAAGAGAAAGGCCATATCAAAAAATATTAATGTGATTTATCATTCTATCAATATGTTCTTTAACGAGATAAACTAATATATGTAATTTATGTTGGATGAGTATGTTTATGAGTTAAAAATATGTTTATGATGGATGAGTATGTTTATGAGTTAAAAATAGCACGAAGCAAATGATGCATCATAAACTTTTTAACAAAAAAGACACATGAAAATAAATTTGAAACGACGTGGTATGCTGCATGACTACTTAATGAAATTATCTTCATACGTAGAAGGTGATACAAAATCATGAGATAATATTGGTAATAGTGATTAATTAAAGAGGGTGAGTTGAAGGTGACGGGACATAGTGCAAGATTCCATGAAGAATTGTGAAGAACCTTTTGAAGGACCATCCACCATATCTTGTTTGCAGTTTCCCTGTGGCCTTCCGATAGCCATAAGACAAATATTCTCTTTTTCTTCCTCCATTCTCCCTTATATTTTAGTTCCCATTAATTAATTACCAACTAGTCAACATTGGGTCATTGTTAATTATCTGAAATTTACATTCCTCCATTATCATTTTCACAGCAGAATATCTAAAGATCCCAGGTTTAAGGATTAAACTGATGCCTAAAACATTTAAAAGACTAACTTAATAAATAAAATATCCCATGTATGGGATTTCTTGGTTAGTCAATATTTCAAAGAGTTTTAAGCAAATTGGTTAGTCATGGTAATTAATTATTAGCTAAAAAGAAACAAGTTTTTATCAAAAATCAGTGGAGAATCTTGATGCTTTTGAATGGGACCTAAAGGGATGAAACAAATGATGCAGGTGTAATGTATAATGTAGAGAAAATAATGTTAAATAGTTAAGAAACTAATCATGTGGATTTGGTAGGGAATCAAATGGGGACTCCCTTTATGCATAGCTTGAGAGCAAAATAGTGAGCCCCATTTGATACCCATGCCCAACACAAACACGCAAAAGTGAGCCCCAATTGATACCAAACCCGAATTCATATTAAGGATGAGATTTGGATCCTGTTTAAAGAATTCAAAGTCTTCTACTTTTTTCTATCCATCTCTCGTTCTATTCCTCAAAACAAAATATTATCATATTTTCAGAGAAAAAGAGATTCTACAAATCTATCTTTTTCTTTGGGGAAGAGAAGTTGTTTATGCTCTATGCGTGTTTCAAAATCTCTAGAGAACTCTTGAATATTCCTCAAATTGATCAAATAAGGTTTGACTTCCTTGCCCTAATACAACTTCTTCATCTGTATTCCTCGCACGACACATTTTTGCTCTAGTGGGACTGTTAATGGAGAAGCTAAACCACATTTTGTGACCAATACAATTCAATATGCTAGAAAGTTGGTGAGAGATATTAAAGTTTGGAAAATGATACTTTTGACAATCCAAATCCTTATCACTCCTATAAACAATTCTCTTTAATATTATAATAATAATTTTATTTTATTTTTATTAAATCATTCTATAAATTATTATATTAATAAAAATAAATGATGTTCGAGAAGTCGAATTCGTATACTCCTATGAATAACTGTCTTATAATATTATAATAATCACTTTGATTTATTTGCTTTCATGAGAATCATGCTTCATGTTGTAACCTTGGAGAACTAAACCATACTCAAGAGTTGTACACAATTACCCTTAACCAACAAGTTTTTTGGGTGATTCGTATTGGTAATCAAAGGACCCTGAAAACCACCCCTTTATTAGTCCACGTGATGAGAGTGGCAACATTGACATCCTTGTACCATGTATTTGTGTACCTGGAGAACATGGCTCCCACGAGAGGTGGGGCTTCTCTGTATAAGCCCCACCATAAGAAACAAAACAGTTTGCCATAACCCCACTTCGATCTTTGCATAATTGCAGTAATCATTATAAAAATATTTATCAGCCATTGCTTTTATACCATTGTTGGATAAATGTTGGAGTGTAAATATGAGCAAGAAGTTTCACATCAAACGAATATGAAATGAACATGTTAAACAACAGAAAACACTCATACCTTCAAGGCTTTGTCTTGGAGAATTAGTTGTTTGGATTAAATATTATGATACAAGTTCCCTCATTTTACCTTCATTGGAAACCTGATAGCGAGAAAACTAATGAAGATGTAACAGAAAATCTCATCATTAGCAGACTCGTTAGACTCAAAATTAGAAGCGCATTGAAATGGGAAAGGTGCGGTTACAGTGGATATATATAAAAGTTTATGCATAAAGTCAAGTTTAACGACTAGTTTTAACTACTTTTCGAATTGATTTGACTGGTTTGCTACTAACATTTTTCATAGATAATATTAACTTTTCGAAATACCAGATACAGCGCACTCTTTCTTGTTCCATGTGCATGGAGTCCAAATTATGATCTATATTTTGTGCACATGCCTTCTTCTCCGGAGAGTTTACCATCTATACTAGACCAGAAGTCCTATTTGGCTCGGATATTTTTGGCTTTTTAGCAAATTGTTCTCTCTTTGGCACAGCATTTGTACAGCAGCAAGTGGGTTTTGCTATCCCCCCACCATTATCTCTGAGGAAAGATTCTTGTAAGATATTCATACGGGACCAGTACTCAGATAATGACCCTCTTCCACATGCTAAATTAACTACGGAGAGCTCGCAAAAACTTTTCTTTGGTTCAAAAACCAGAAGTATTTTGCGCTTCATTCTTTTCAATCAACTATTTCAAAACGTCACACAAACTACAGTTACGTTTGTTACCTTGCAATGGAGACATCCTACCTTGTGGCTTAAAGACAAGAATAAATGAATGAATGGAGAGAATACATTGATCTTAACCTCATAATTCCAAAACACTTATCAACACATTACTTCACAATATGAAATCCACATGCAGTAGATTATCATCACCTAATCATATATGGGCCACAAGGCCCCTTAATCAAAGGTGAAAGGTCGATCATAATCAGTAGCATTCAATGTCGGCCAAGCCAAAACTACAAAGAAAAAGAAAGGAGGTGAATTAGCACATGAAGAGATTGTGATAATCAGCAACATTAGTTGATAATTGAGATTTTCTGTTAGTGGGTTTTGATCAAGTGTTACAACCCCTTAGAAAAAGGCTTACTGGCCCACGTGTCATATTTACATAGAATCCCCACTCATTCTACTCTCTGTCTGGTTTGTCCTTCGAAATGTGAACTAACCACTAACCAATATGTTTCATCTTGAATCTATTCTTTCAAAGTAAAAGGCAATATTTTTATTATATAATCTCCTCATATATGTAGTGATGGAGCTACCACCACATGAACCAAACCCAACCACACGGCCACCAATAGCACCACCATATATGCAGCAAGAAACACCACATGCACCTTCTAAGTATCCCCAAGTCGACATACAAAATTGTCTGCAACTGCATTTCAGAAAGTCTCTACTCTCTTGTCTGCCACTTGCCGGGCTATCATTTTTCACCGCTGTCCTTCCATTTTGTCAATCTTAATATGCTGAGACAAGATGAAGGATTTTCCCTACACGTTTTTACCACTCCCTTATCTATCTTTTATTTTGCATTAGTTGCATAAGCTTCCTGATTGTTCCTTTATCACAGGCTACATAAGGAAAAGTCAGGGAGAAAAAAAGTAGTCTAAACCCGTGCATCCAAGTCAACAACCTGACTATAAATATGGGCAATTCCTGAGGATTCAATTCAATCCCATGAACACTTAACTACCTCTACTAAAACCTTGAGGATTCAAATTTAAACACACATGTCGCTTTCCTGTGCCAAAAACTTCTTCCAGAGGTTCTGGCTAGATGAATTCCAAATGGGAAATATTCCTCATGGAAGCTTTTTGGCCAATGATGATCTCCTGCCATCTCTTGGAGCTAGAATTAACCAGGAAACTAGACTTAGAAAATACGTAATCTCCCCTTTCAACCCTCGCTATAGGTGATGTGATGACCCTTTACATGTAGTCACAACGATATACATAACTCTAATGAATATTGTTTGTGTCTGCTGCATCTTCTCATGTACTCTTATTACAGGGCTTGGGAGTTGTTACTGGTTGTTCTAGTCATATACTCGGCTTGGATATGCCCATTTGAGTTTGCCTTTCTGCCTTACAAGGAAGATGCTCTATTCATCGTAGACAACATTGTCAACGGCTTCTTTGCCATTGACATAGTGTTGACATTCTTTGTTGCATACCTTGATCACCAATCATACCTTCTTGTCGATGATCCAAAGAGGATTGCAATCAAGTGAATGTTCATAAACTCTTCTTCAAAGTTAAAATGACGCTCTACAACAACTCTGCTTACTTTACATAGCTCAATCAAACTTGCAGGTACCTATCTACATGGTTTGCTTTTGATGTCTGCTCGACAATACCGTTTCAATCCTTCAGCTTCCTCTTCAACAATCATACCAGTGAGCTTGGCTTCAAAGTTTTTAACATGTTTCGGTTATGGCGGCTGAGACGAGTCAGTTCTCTGTTTGCAAGGTTTACCACCATGTCATATTCAACTTTATGGTTTTGGTTTTCATCAAAGGTTTCTAATTGCAAGAATATGACATTTCTTAATAGCTCCTTTGCTTTGCTTTCAGACTTGAAAAGGACATTCGATTCAATTATTTCTGGACCAGGTGCACAAAGCTCATTGCTGTAAGCAACAGAGTTCATATATTTTCTTTGTTCTTCTTGCTGTAACAATTTCAAGGTACTTTCTAGAACTGAATTGCCACTTCCACAGGTGACCTTGTTTGCAGTGCACTGTGCGGGATGCTTTAACTATCTCATTGCAGATAGGTACCCAGATTCCAAAAGAACCTGGATTGGTGCAGTGTACCCAAATTTCAAAGAAGAAAGTCTTTGGGACAGATATGTCACCGCAATATACTGGTCCATTGTCACTCTTACTACCACTGGCTATGGGGATTTACATGCCGAGAACACCAGAGAGATGTTGTTTGATATCGCTTACATGTTGTTCAACTTGGGTTTAACATCATATATCATTGGAAACATGACGAATCTTGTAGTCCACTGGACCAGCCGAACCAGAAATTTTGTATGTACTCTGAAACTCATGCTTTTTCTAATCTGCTACTGCTCAATTTATCAGTGCCAATTATTATACATGCGTTAGAATAAACAAAACTCTGTTTCTCATTTAATAAAGATCTTCAAAGTCACTATCCAGGACAATGTTCAAAAAGCTTGTTTTAATTATTCTGTAGGCCCCACATTTTGGTGTTACATTTAAAACAGCAAATCTAGCACAGTTTTCCAGTTAGTTTCATGGTATATTGGTTGCCCTGCAGTTTCATTTTCAGCAATAACTAATTATTTCCTTTCCGATAAAATAACTCGTTCAGATAAGAGGAATTTTATTTCTTCCCTCTAATGAAGAGAGGATTGGTTTTGGTGCCACAGAGAGACACAGTCAAAGCAGCTTCTGAATTTGCTTCAAGAAATCATTTGCCCCATCGCATACAGGATCAAATGTTGTCACATATATGTTTGAAGTTCAAAACAGAAGGACTGAAGCAGCAAGAAACATTGAATGAACTTCCAAAGGCAATTCGTTCAAGCATTGCACACCATCTGTTTTTTCCTGTCGTGCAAAAGGTCTACCTTTTCCAAGGAGTCTCTCATGATTTCCTTTTCCAACTGGTAATACTAATACCCTACATGCCTTGTTTGTTTTTATTATCGTGACTTTTTGTCTTTTCTTTCGTCCATTTCCCCTTCGGTGCTATTCTTCTTTGGCTAAGATAAGAGTAAAGAAGGCGAAGAATTAATGTTACAATATCCATAACTGACTCAAGTGACCCTCTAATAATAGACTTCAGATATGGAGGCTGAATTTTTCCCACCTAAGGAAGATGTGATACTACAAAACGAGTCTTCTACGGAATTTTATGTGCTGGTCTCAGGGGCAGTGGTGAGTTAGCTTAAATCATGAATTATTTAATAACCATTAATTGATATTGGAGAATACTTACTGACAAAAAAAATAACTTTTCAAATTTTTACTTGTTGCAGGATCTGGTTTGCTACACCGATGGGCATGATCATGTAAAAATGTTCAAAATCATGACATTTTATTCATCTTTAAAATATGAAATAACTTAATATAATTTTCTATCTCTACATTAAATAATTCAGGTTCATGGTAAGGCAGTTGCAGTAGATGCGTTTGGAGAGATTGGAGTTTTATACCAGATACCACAGCCTTTCACAGTTCGGACCACAGAACTTTCTCAGATTTTAAGACTCAACAAAACATCCTTAATGAATGTTTTACAAGCAAATCCACGAGACGCACAAATTATGATGGATAACCTTTTAATGGTAATAATGAGGTTATTGAAGACCTCTAAACTCAAATCATTGGAATATTTAGTATAAATTTCATTTATAGTATATCTTCGAACACTAATATGTTCTAAACCACTTTTTTATGTATTGAAAGAGGTTAAAGGGGCGTGGAGATTTTGGCTTTGAGTATCCATGCACAGATTCTGGGCTGTTTCCAAATGAACTGCTTCAAGGAGGTCACACGAGAGGAAGCTTTTCTCACGAATGTACAAATAATTCACATGAGCATTCAGTAATGCATGAAGGAGAGTGCACAGATATTAGAAACTCAGAGACAAGTTTGTGTCAGCTGACTAATGATCATTCAGTAACTAAACATAGGATGATGCCAGAGCATGATACCAGAGAACCTCGTGCCCCCGCACACAAAGGGAATTTAGACATTGTTGAAATTCTGCTTGAAAGAGACGCAAACCCTAACCTAAATTCCATAGGGTGGACACAAAATGCTCTCGCAAAACAGCCCAAAAACAAGGGCATTTGTGCCCAAAAATTGAGTTTAGAAAACGAGAAGTTAGATGAAATTAGAATAGAGATAGCGGAGCCAGAAATCCTCCTTGACAGGGATAGCTCAACGAGAAACAGAAAACATGATGGTATTATATCTACCAAGTTCCCAAAAGAAAAAATAAACACAAAATCCATTTTTAGAAATTCTAACTGTCCAAGTGATAGCAAATCGGCAAGGCTCCCCAAGAAGAGAGTAACAATCCAATTGCTACATGGATGCAGGAGTACCTCACAGGGAAGCCATGGAAAATTAATAATCCTGCCTGATTTATTAGAAGAGCTACTCAAAGTTGCTGGTAAGCTTTGTCCTCAACAAAATGTTGATTATGAATTATGATTTTAGAACCTAGAGCAGAGCAATTATAGCTTCACACGTACGCACACTGGATCAACTATTTTTAACGGGGAAAGGGGCGGAGGGAGAGATGGAAAAAAAAAAAATAGATGCTATATTCAGAATACAAAAACACTATAAATTTTTTACTGCTTTTACTTTCCCCTAACTACAAAATTGCAAAATTGCAAAACTGCAGGCGAAAAATTTGGCGGCTTCAATCCTACAAAAGTAGTAAATACAGAGAATGCAGAGATAGATGACATAAATGTCATCCGTGATGGAGATCGTCTCTTTCTTCTGTGCAACGATAACGAAATTCGTGTTCATGATGCCTCAGAAGATAGATAGCATCTTTAGAAACATGATGACAACCGTGTAATCAAATCATAAAATGCTAAGCATCCAGAAAGATATGGAAAATCATACAATTAAATTACAAAAGCTGCTCGTTGTTCGATGTTCATGATTTGAAACCAAATTTTACAATCTCGTTCAGACAGGGCAGGTTATAAATCCAAGCAAAATGAGTCATAATCAACTGACGATCTCTGAGACGTGTTTCCTGATGTATTGCATGATTCAAACAGTATTTCACAGTTTTCAATATCACTGAGAACCCAGCTAATCATTTCCTTTACAACCAGAACTGCTCTTGGTCAGCGTAAGAGATGCTAGACATTCAAAGAAGCATCTCACTTTGTGAGTCTAGGGTCGTATTTCTAATAATTGACTGTTGAATGCCTTTGATGAATAAAACTCATTTCTTCGAATTGATTGGTATAGGATGTGCTTCTGTGTTAAAAACAAATTTATCCAGAGGAATAAGAGAGCTGTCCGCAAAAAGTAAGTATAAATACTTAAGTGTTTCTCCTAGAAAGAAAGTCTCCATTTTGTCTCTTCTATGAGGAGGAACAATGGTTACATCGTCCAGGGAACAATATCCCCCAGTATCAACCTTTGTGTGCTTTTCAAAAGCTTCAAATATTTGCCAACCCCATTCACGATATCTGTAAGAGAAGATATTCGTATCTGGTTATTTAAAAAAAAAAAAAGTAATGAATAAAATAAAATTGAGCTTGCATCAACTGTTCCTTAGATATGGCTAGAAGAAATAAAACTGCAAACTAATCATACATAACAACAGATGGGGAAAGCATACTTTGGATCTTCTGTGATGCGGTACAAAACAAACAACGACTCCAGAGTCTCAGGTCGCAAAAGATTATGACGGTCAGCAGGTCTTATTATGATATCATTAATAAATTCTGAGCTCTTATTTCCTCCGTCATGACCTTCTTCAGAAAAATCCTGGATATGAAAAGCAAGGGGCAAGATGTCATGTCTCTATTCTTGCTATGAAAAAATTCAGGAGAAATTTTTTTTATTTCCATAAGCAGCACCATAAAACACAATGAGGACATAAGTAAATAATGAGATGCTTTGCTGCATTTTCTTGTGATCTTCTATCAATTGATGAAATTCAAAATTCCATCAATAGTCTACTAACCTTAGTATGAAAGTAAGCAATTTCAGGAGCAAGACCAGTTTTAGTTACTGCATACATTTCAAAGCATGTTTTAGTCAGATCTTCGGCTAGCTTCAAATTTTCTAGGTCTTCGAAGTTAAGCATATTGTTTTTCATTGCCTGTTTCTTTGTAAGGCCTTTAGTGGCACCAAGTGCAAGAGTGCCAGGTAGGAAACATACCTGAAAGGGCAGACAACATGATTTTACATCAACGTTAGTAGGTACAAGACAACATTAGCAAATCATCTCTCAAATCTTAATTATGATCAAAGCACTTATAGAATTTTTATGAGATAAAAAAAGGAGAGCAGACAAAATAAGCATATAAAACAAAAGATATTTTTAAAATAAACCGAACTGCTATATGATACTATCAGTGTCCAATCCACTACTCAAGGAAATTTATTAAACTCAAAAGCTTCATCAAATATGTTTGGGACAAAATCGTTTTAAGAGCATAGAAGTGGGCATAGAACCCACCTTACTACTCCGAATCAATACTGCTATTGTAAATGTAAAGATAATGTACTCGGAAAAATAGATTAAGCTGCAATATGATTTTTATTATATCAATACAAAGAGATGATATAAGATATATATAGGAGACCTAAGCTATTTTAGGAAATATAATAACTCTATTTTATGCTAGGATCCCTTGATTTATGGGATTGTTCCTAATTATTCAAATGCATGCAGATTACAAGAAAATATACAAATTTCCCGATTTATTTTTTCCTAAAATACTATTTGATTTCCCACACTCCCCCTCAAGCTGGTGAATAGATGTTTTCCATTCCTAACTTGGATACAATCTTCTCAAAATTATGGCAGCCCAGTCCCTTGGTAAGAATGTCCGCAATTTGGTCTTGAGAGGACACATATGGAGTGCATATCAAGCCACTATCAAGCTTTTCTTTGATGAAGTGTCTGTCTACTTCAATATGCTTTGTTCTTCATGCTTTGCACTTGGGTTGTGGGTTATACTCGATTGCTTGACTTATTATCACAATAGAGCTTCATAGGTTCTTCCCAATTTATCCTCAAGTCTTCTAAGATGATTTTAAGCCATAGCAACTCACATATACCTTGTGCCATGGCTCGGAATTCCGCTCGACCATTGGACCGAGACCACTACACCCTACTTTTTGCTTCTCCAAGTCACAAGATTTCCTCCAAGAAAGGTGCAATATCTTGTAGTTGACCTCCTATCCACAATTGACCACTGCATAATCGGCATCAATATAGGCTTCAAGCTTCACATTACCATTCATTTTGAATAGAATCCCTCTTCCTGGAGTTCCTTTAAGGTAAGGTTCCAACATAAAATCAATTGGCTTCTTTCCTATTGGTAAGGTGACTAACTCCCAGGTGTTGTTCTTCTCTAATGCCTCCATCTCTACATCCATGGCTTGCCTCCATTTTCCGTCAGACAATGCCTCGAGATAGGGTATTAGGTAGAAGTGTAGTGTTTAGGTTTACTAGGAAGGTTTTATGGGTAGGAGAGAAATTTTTAAAGGACAGGTAGTTTGAGAGAGGGTAGAGTGGCTCGTTTGGTGAATTTTCTTGTTCCTTTTCTAATGGCAATTGGGAGGTCGGGATCATTTTGGGTTTCAATTTCAATGCAGTACAGTTGGAGAAAAAATTGTTACCTCTTTTTGTGGAGTCAAGTTGGATTCTTGAACATGGCTTGATCCTGGAATGGCCTTAGTCTTCCTTGAGTACACCAGCTTCTTACCAAATTTGTCGACTTCAACATCTCGTTGATCGGCTTCACAATTAATTTCACTTTCTTGACCAGCTTCCTTTTCTTGACCAATTCTTTGACCTGTTTCACTTGTTACTGACTTCAATTTGATCTTGTTTAGGTTCAAATATTAAGTCTGGAAGAATGGGAAAATCAGATATGAAGGAGTGAGAGATTCTGTTCTTGATGGGCAGACTTGGATCTTCGAGATAATAAAGGACATTCCATTCTCTAGCATATCCAATCATCCTTCCCGAATCCTTGTCCTGAAATACACAATGATCGTTGAAAAAAATAACTTTACATGACAAATCCTTTATAAGTTTTTGTATAGAGACTAGGTTGGTGGATAGCTTTGGGACATGGAGAACATCTTTTAAAGTTATTAAAGGATTGATTTGGATATTTCCTTGACCAGTTGCAGTTATAAGGGTTCCATCTCGTTGTGACAATTTTCTTGTTCTTGGGACATGGGGAATATGTGGAGAAGTGTTTGGCTAATGTTGTCATGTGGTCTCGTGGCTCCGCAGTCCAATATCCAATAATGGTTAAAAGGTGTATCTCGAGACATTTGATCCAAAAGAGAATGGAAACTTACCCGGGTATGCCAAAGAACACACACCTGTGGGTTTTTCCGGCTTACTAAGAATGGTTTTCACCCTTTCTATCTCCTCTTGATTAAGATGGGCAGCAACTTCGGATTATTTCCTTCATTTGTTTCAAGCAGCAACATAAACTTGTCCTCCTTTCCTTGAGGAGTCTCCTTTGTGTCCCCCTTCTCGATCTCGGTTTAAAGGCTTCCCATGTAACTTCCAACACTTCTCTCGGGTATGACGAGGTTTATTGCAGTAAGTACACCGAGACCATCACCTTTCTTCTCCACATTTGCTTGATCCTCCTTTCTTCGATCGGCTACCATGGCCAAAGTCCGATCTCCTTTATGGTCCAAGTGTTGAGTTCTCTATCACTGGACTCTCTAACATGAGACCCCTTCTACTTTCTTCACTTCTCACAATAGTCACCACTTCATTGAGGCATGGTACCTTTTGCTTCCCCAATATTTGAATCCTAACTTGATCAAATTCGGGATTCAAACCAACAAGGAAATCATAAACTCTGTCTTGTTCGATATACTCCTTGAGAAGTGTTGAATCTTCGAGTACATTTGGCTTTTATGACTCTATAATGGTCTAGCTCCATCCACAATGATTTCGACTGATTGGCATATTCCGTAACAGTCTTGTTCCCTTGTTTTGTCGCCAAAGTTTTCACCTTTACTTCATATACTTGAGCAACATCTTTGGCTTTAGAGTAGGTTTGTTCTACAACATCCCAAATATCTTTTGCCGAATTAAGGAACATGCGAGTGTCGCTGATTTCGGAATCATTGAATTCCACAACCACGCCATGATCATTGAATCTTCTTCATCCCATGTAGTAAACTTGGGATCCTCCCGTTTAGGTCCGGACTCCATCGGTGACTCAACTTCCCCTTTCCCTTCAACACTGTACGAACAAGTTGGGCCCACTTCAAATAATTTCTTCCATTTAGTCTATATGCGGAATGAATATTCTGCAGCTTCTCCGTATTGCTGGGATTGGGTATTCCCTGTTTTGGGTTTGGATTCACAACTTCCTCTTCCCTTGACATCATAGCAAGGAGGTGTGATGCAACAAGCAATGCAGCTGTCGCCTTAGGATTAAGAAAAATGCAGCAGCAATGTAGGTCGCCGTCTTAGTGGTTAAGAAAATGCAAGTAGCAATGCAGACTGCCGTCTTAGTGGTTAAGAAATATGCAGCGAGCAATGTAGACTGTCGTCTTAGGGTTAAGAAATATGCAACGGCAACGTAGGTTGCCGTCTTAGGGTTAAGAAATATGCTAAGAAATATGCAAGCAGACAATGCAGTCATCGTCTTAGTGGTTTATCGCTGCGAGACAAAGCTTCCTAGATTGGAAGCTCGATACCATGTTAAGGTTCCAACATAAAACCAATTGGCAATATGTGGAGGAGTAGTCTAACATGTATTTAAATCATACCAAATGACATGAGGTAGAGCGATGTGGGACTTTCAACACACCCCTTCAACGAAGCTCACGGACCAGTGCAAAAAGTACTTTTGACCCAACTAAAGGGCAACTTTTGGCCCATGACAATAATCGGAAAGATGTTAGAGCTTTGACTCGATACCATCTATAAAAATAAATTAAGCTGAAATATGATTTTTATTATATCAATACAAAGAGATGATATAAGATATATACAGGAGACTCGAGCTATTTTAGGAAATATAATAACTCTATTTTATACTAGGATCCCTTGATTTATAGAATTGTTCCTAATTATTCAAATCACGTACGATTACAAGGAAATATACAAATTTTCCGATTTATTCTTTCCTAAAATACTATTTGATTTCCCACATGTACCAACGGCATCGAAGATGTATACTGTTGAACTGTGAATCAGCAATTGTGTATCAAATTTTCTTTTGCCTCCTGTTTGACATAGTTTCTAGGACTGTTATTTTCTTCTACCGTTATTTATTAGCATTTGATACTAGTGGCTATTGTTTGTTATTGATTTTTTAAACTCCCTTCTGTTACAAAATCTGTATTTTGAACAGATTGTTATAATTTTCTTAATTTACAAAAAAATTGTATTTAAACAGATTATTATTCAATAAGAAATACTGCATTGCTTTATCTCCTTGTGATTTATGTTGTTTGATGATGCACCAATTAGAGGTACTAGATTGCTCTTGGATAGCTATGAAAGATGTAATGTAGCAGTTCTAGAACCTGCAGGATTTTGTGATGCAACCAAGGATTGATCCCAAATGATGGGTTGCACTGCAGGAGGAACATTCAATGATTGATAAAAACCAGACTTGGAAACTCTTTGAAAGGCCAGAAAATAGAAAAGTCATAGGCGTGAAATGAGAATGTAAAACAAAGTTGAATGTGGATGATTCAATCAACAATCACCAGGCAAGGTTTGTCATAAAAGGGTATGGCCAAATTTTTGGAGTACATTACTTCGATACATTTACGGCGGTTGCAAGGCTGGATATAAGGATGTTGTTAGCTATTGCAGCATGAAAGGGATGAAAAATCTACCAACTTGATGTCATGTCATGTCAGATTTCTTAAATGGATTTTTGGGGAAAGAAATCTTTGTTGAGCAACCTGAAAGTTTCTTTGTGAAAGAACATAAAGACGAAATATCTATTGAAGAAGGCTTTGTATGGGTTGGAACAGGTCCCAAGAGCATATACAAAAGAATTGATGAATACCTATCAAAACTAGGCTTTGTTAAAACCCTTAGTGAATCCACTTTTTACATCAAAGGTGATAAAGCTAACTTTTATGTGATCTTTTCTATGTTGATGATCTCCTAGTTACTGACAGCAATGTTGAAGTGATTCAGCAGTTCAATAATATGATACAAGCTTTTGAGATGACAGACATGGGAAAAATCTCCATATTCGCCAATATGGGTGTTAAGCAAAACGAAGGTGATATTTTCATTTGCCAAATGAAGGAGATCCTAAAGAAATTCAATATGGAGAACTGTAAAAGCATGAACACTCCTGTGTAAGAAGGAGAGTTATGTAAAGATGATTGTTCAGAAGATGTGGAAGAAGCACACCAAAGAAGTTTAATTGGTTGTCAGATGTAACTTACAGCAACAAGACCAAATATCTTGTATGCAGTAAGTGTACTTTCAAGATTCATTGCTTGTGCAAAGGAATCTCATTTGAAAGCGGCAAAGAGAGTGTTGAGGTATGTCAAGGGGGCTTTAAATTGGTATCAAGTTCAGTCAATCACAAGATTTCAAGTTGCAAGGTTATTCTGATTGTGATTGGGCAAGATGTTCGATGACATGTGTAAAGTCCCACATCACCTCCTCATATCATTTTATATGATTTAAATACATGTTATGCTACTCACATAGGCAATTGGTTTTATTGGAACCTTAACATGTATCGGTCAAAGCCTAACATCTTTGTTATTGTCATGGGCCAAAAGTTGCCCTTTAGTTGGTCAAATACCCTTGCCGTCAGACGTTGGAGGGCATGTTGAAAGTCCCACATCGCTACCTCATATCATTTGATATGATTTAAATACATGTTAGCTACTGCATATTGCCAATTGGTTTATGTTGAACCTTAACAACATGAAAAACACCTCAGCTCGTCGTTGGATCGGGATCTCTCTTGGTCTTCAAAAACGAAAAATTGTTGCTCAGTCAATAGCTGAAGAAGAATTTATAGCACACACAGTGGTGGTTAATCAAGTCTTATGGCTCACAAAAAATGCTAACTGATTTGCACTTGTAGCAAGAAACAACTAGTGATGGTGGACAACCAGGCAGTCACAGCCATCTACAAAAAACCAGTTGTTCATGGAAAAACAAAAAAAAATTAGCATCAAGTTATTTTTCCTCAGAGATATACAAAGCGAAAGTCCAGTGCACTTGATGTACTGTAAGACTGAAGATCAGTAGTTGGGTACAAGGAGGAGTGTTGAATGTGTGTATCATATTTTCTTCTTCCAATATTTTTGGCAGTTGATGCTAGTGGCTATTGTTTAGGTTTTGCTATTGATTTTTAAAATTCTCTTCTGCTACAAAATCTGTATTTAAACAGATTATTACAATTTTCTTTTGTTATAAAAATATGTATTTAAACAGATTATTATTCAATAAATGGTAACAGTGCAGTGGACAATGGTAACAGTGCAGCCCAGCAAGAACACGTGAAGTTCAATTTTCTATAATTTCATACATAACCATAGGGTGAGAAACTGGGAATATCATAATTTCACAGGCTATGAAAGATTGAATTTCATATTTCACATACATCAAATAAAATTTAACAATTTCTAGTAATAAACCAATCCAGCAATTCATAATTCAGGATTGTCATACATTGTATAGCAAGTGCATCATATTACATGTGGCACAATATCCAGGTCAATTCCTTTGCACAATTTCTATTGAAGGGTATTTTCAAGCAACTACTATAGCACTAAATAAATTGCCCATAATGCCAAACTTAAAATTTAGAAACTACTACATACCAGGTGATCCATTTTTGGGCTGAAATCATTGTTTAACCCATAAGGTAATTCTCCAACAAAAACTAGTCCATTTGGAATAGATTTCTGAACAAGACGATGTCTAACACCATTCATTGCTTCCTTGTACATTTCATATAGATATGAAGTATTACTATTGGTAATATCTCCACTCTGAAGCCATACTTTAACTAAGTACTCATAGTAACTGTCACCACGGGATCCCAGTCTAATATTTTCTCCATGAAATTGGCCAGAATGAGGGCTGCATTTAGTTATTAGAGATGTCAACCGTCAATAGAAATAAGATGAGAAAAGAAACAAAGACACGGGGCCTAAAGGTGACAAAAAATTTGGGGTAATCAAATAAGTATATTATGAACAAAACCAAATCAAAAGATTTATAAAGAATTACTCCAATTGAAGATTAATATCCAAATACAATGATTAATTTATATTCAGTGCAATACCTAATGTAGATAGGAACTAGTCCTTCAAGCTTTGGAAGAGTTTTCATGTGCGCCATGACTTTCATTGCTTCCAAACCATATTTCTGATCACCAGATACATAACTGAGATAATTAAACTCAAGCTGTAAGGTGGAAACTTCTGACGTGCTACTCAGTCCAGCAGGAGCTGAATGTGCTGACTTATCATGAAGAATAACATCACTAAATGGAATAGCAGTGGGACTGGTCGTAAAAGCAGACAGCAAACGGTCAGCCAAATCCTTAGCAGCGTTTAAATAAACTGCTGGTTTAGGTCCTGCATGAGAAATGTTCATTCCTTTTTCCCCTCCACTTAGATGGTATGCGCTTAAAAGTCCACCCAAAACCCGAATCGTGGTTTCAAATAAATTCACTTGTCCCTTGGTCCTAATTCTCTCAGAAAGGTGTTCCTCAACCCAGGATCCAGCTTCAGCAACAACCTCATCAAGACCCATGATCATAGCAGTATCGAGAGCATCCACAACCGTCGCGCCTAACCCTCCTAATCCATCAACTCCTTGCTGGGTGAGTGGCATAAGTTCATCATGACCCATGGCAAATTTTCTGTACCCAGACCACGCATGAACGAAAGCTTCCTTAACCTTCTGCTGCCTAGAAATCCACATTGTCCTAACAGCATCCGGATTTCCCAATACCTGGCCAGCGCCATTACTACTTACCTTTTCATCCGGCGACAATCGAGGAGGAAGCCTCGGAGGCCGTCTCCAGAACCTCTTTATTTTGCCAGCTCCATCAACAAAGCTGCTATTAGCGTAACTGGTTCTTTTCACAATTGCTTGATCATTAGAAACTACACCACCTGAACTCGTATGTGCCAACATAAGATAACCCACACCAAAGATCAATATCAAGAACAGAAACTTTCCTGTACTACAGCTAACACAATCACGCTTTAGGTTACTGGTGAGCAAGTTCTGAGAAATAACCTGGAAAATTAAAACATAGCAAAGAACTAAACGTTTGCACCTTCTTAAACTCATACAAATGTTCATTACAAATCCACAATTGCCAGGAGTACAAAGAGAAACTAATGTGGAGATTATAGAGAATCGCAAATAGCATGATCAGGATTAGAGGAATGGATGCAGATAAGGAAGGTAGGTATTGGGGAAAACGACGATGATTGGATCTGAAATGAAGAGAGCGGCGTACCTTGAAAGAACGGTGGCGAAACTTGGCGTTATCGTAGTCAACATCTTTGGTGGAGTAGGGCAGAGACTTGGACATGATGTTGGATCCGATCGCAAATTCCAATTGAGAAAAAGAGACACGACAATCTAGCTAGGAATTCGATTGCGTAGGAACAGCGAGATTCTATGCTTATTTATCATCATCTCATGCGACCAGAGAAAAAGAGAGAGAGAGAGAGAGAGAGAGAGAGAGGTTTCTCCGCTGCGGGAAAAGGGACGCTGCAATATCTATATCTGAGACGTAATTTCAGATCGATGGTTTTTTCTTCCATTGCATTGACTATGTTTTAATTATATCCTATTATTCTTACAAATCTTGTTGAGGTTTGTGAACTAACTTATTAAACGAAAATATAAATACTAATATCCAATATTTAAAAAATATAAAATATATTTAATTCACTCTTCCCTTTTTTTATAATTAGAAAGTATGTATTATGAGAGAGTTTTTATTATTCTTAATTATTGACCTACAAAGCTTATTGTTTATGTACGACTGACATAAACAAAGCGTATGTAGTTGTGTATGCATATAAACTTGAAACGTGGGATTGGTTGTTTTGTTTTCAAGAATATCTAGGAGTTCATGAGATAAGGAGTGTGATTAAAGGAAGAAATAGGCATATGTTCTTGGAAGGTTTGACTCAATGATGAAGAAATTGTGAGGTTTCAACTCGAGTTCTTGGATTCCAAGTGCATTTATTTTATAAATTTATCTTGTTATGAAGGGGAAAGACCTATGGAAGATTAAAGAGTTGAAGAAGAATCTCCAAATGCTACAAAAGAGGTGGTAGCTAAAATAACCGCAACTAAATAGTTGGAGAATGTCACAGTGATTTTGTACCAAAATCTATTATCATCGATACTTCTCTCATGCCGCTTCATTGCAAGAAGATATGATTTCATGGCGCACAATACTTTTGTCTGAGAAAAATAAATGGTACCATCTACTTTCTATTAATAAACAAATGAACATATTTTCTATTTTATTTTTTTGTAAATAAAATAATTTAATTATTTCATAAAATATAAATTAATAATCATAACTTTTTATTAAAAAATAATTATTTTATTTTCAAATCTAACACTTTCATCAGACAACCTCACTAGAATATATTAGAAAAAACTAAAAAATTAAATTTATAATTTTTTTCGTAGTTTTAAAAATAAATGTAAAAGTATTTAAAAAAAATTGAACTCGAATTTTAAAAAATGCAATTTGTTTTGAAAATTGCATTTGAAAACCAAAAGAATTGCTACAACACTAACGGGCCTAAGATATTACAATAATGTGATTTAGCCCATTAAACGCATAATTTATGAATGTTACTTCAATGCACCAGAACTATGTAATGGTGATACTTAAAAAGTTAATTAACACAATTATAACTTAATTAAACGACCAAAAATACACGTTTACTATAGCTAAATGTATCATAATTAAAACCTCAAAAACTAAAATTACATAATTACAATGAAGTTAAGTTTTGATGTGAATTAGGTGTTGGAAATCTTAATAACTTGATAATTTGTACTGCAATTAATTAGAATAAGAAAGATGAATTATAATATGCTATGAAAAGTTAAGATAGGACAGCATTATGGTATATATAACCCACAAATTGATCCCATCTTGCAACAGTCATAAAACCTTTGTTGACATAGGGAGTGAAGAATATCGATCTTCTCCTCTCTCCTTTTTTGCTTCCTTTATCGTCTCAAAAGCCTCAACCACCCATCGGAATTCCCGTTCATCTTCAATCTCGGCGCTCTCGCATCCATAATTCCCTCTCCTTTTCCTCTCCACGCAAATAATGCACCACCAAACTCACTAGCCCCTTCCTTCTCAACCCTCCATTTTCATGGCCAACATCACTCCAACCCTAAAGTGCATGTGCACAATAACACTCTTCATTCTCTTCCTCCTCTCCTACACCGTTTCTTCTTCTTCTTCTTCTTCTTCTTCACACTCCACCCTAACACAGATCCAACACCAAAACCCTTCTCCAACCACCACCCCTATACAGCACTACCAAGTCTTCTACCTCAAGAACACGCCCTCCACCACCCCTTTTACCAGACAAGAACGCTTCAAGAAGAGAAGAATGAGGAGAAACAAGAACATGATGAGGCACAGAAAGAAGATGGTGCTCAAGAACATGCATCACTCACGTGAATCACAACCTTTCTCTGTGATGCTCCCAAAGGGTTTTGTCCCTCCTTCTGGCTCCTCCCCTTGCCACAATGATCAACCCAATACTGTCTCTTCCTCCTTCCACTGCCATCTCAGTACCACTGCACAACCTTGAGATGGGACCAAGTTTAAAGGTCCAATAAATAATCTACACATTATAATAACCGCCATATTTTTATACAAATATATATATTTATTTATGTCATACATACACGTGGAGCATTCAGATTAGAAAGATGAGAAAACTGCTACTACTTCGATATATTGATCATTGCTTTTGATCCTTAATTCTTCCACTGTATTCCATCCCTTCCTCCGTGACTTTAATTACTCACTGATCGTTTTTCTTGCCTTACGTTGATGTTGTTGTAATAGACAAAATAAGAATTAACAAAATGTATATTGTAATAAATCAGTGAAACTTGGCTTTTTGCTTCCTACAATTTTCTGCTGAGTGTCCTTTTCATCGTTACTTCTTATATTTTTCCCTTTCTTGATTCTATCTACTTTTAAATTTTTAGTTCAATTTCTGCACAGTGTAAAATTCAACCAATAAATAACCATATCATGGAACAGTCATATATTTTCCCTTTCTTGGTTTTGATTGCTTAGTTTTGATTTTAGTTTAATTTTTATAAAGTGTAAAAATTCAAGCAATGAAAAATCATTAAATTTATCAGTTTTAGTAAGTATTGTAGTATGGTTAAAAATTCCCTTGTTTTATTTATTTTGAACGTAATTTTTACTAAATAATATTGTAATATCTTTTGATACTATAAACTCTATTAGTTTTGTGGAAATGAAAAAAGTATAAGGCGTGCGGGTTCATGGATGAGTTACAGAGACAGAGATGTCTGTTATAATAAATTGAAGTATATATGTTTGTTTGTTGGAATGAATGGAATTGGTTTGACAGAAATTAGGGTTGAAAGGGTGAAGAGAAGTTTTGGAGATTAAAAAAAAAAAAAGTGAGGTAGGTAGGTGGAGAAGAGAGGGAGAATGAGAGAAAAGGCATGTGAATTTGCGTCGTTGGGGAAAGCAAAAGTCGTATGTTTGAATGTGATTCAAGTTTCGTGGCGTTTACTTTGTTCTTGCATGCACTGCATTATGCATGGTAGGGACGGCTCTCAAGACGATGTGCCACACAAGTCGGATCCATGTCACAATAAATATACCAAAAATCATACATCTTTCCAAGTAAGAAAACATTTCCCCAACACCAAAGTCAAGACAAAAAAAAAAGTTGCCTCCTTTAAATTGTGCCAACTAACCTCATGTATGTACATATAATTTACAATATTTTTTATCATTTATTTTAAACGAAACAAATATATTATGTTTCATCTATCTATCTATCTGCTAAAATCTTTAGTATTGATAAATTGTCGTTTAGCAACTGAAGTTGACGTTGCGGCCGTAGGTAAGACCCTAGCCAGATGGTAATTAAAATTATGATTAATGCTAATCTTTCTTTATTAGTGGGTCCTAATCTTATTTCTGGAGCCACCGAACGTATTTTTGTTTCATATGATTCAAATTATCACCGTTTGAATTCATTCGTCTTGTTCCACGAAATGGCATTCGATATTAAAAAAAGAAAGCAAATATTATCTAGTTAATTAATCGCTTTTAAAATAATAAAATAAATAGTATTAAGTTTCTGAATCCACTACAGGGTTTACGTATGATCCACTAGAGTAGGATTGATTAATCTGGTAAAGATCCTTGTGCCCGTAATGAAATCATTCCATAATGACGATAAGGTTCCTTTAATAATACTTTGAGAGTGACTAAGCAAAACAACACTTAAATGTTTATATTGCTACTTTATTTTCTATACATTAAATTAAATATTTAATATTTATAATTTGTAATTTTTTATAAAGCTAAAATAAAATATAAATATTTTTACTAATGATATACTCAAAACACCCTGAAACCCTAGTTTTTACTATCTTGGACGTTAACTAGATTAACTTTGTTTTCTAAGTATTGGAAGCGACTATTAATTCCACTTATTATGGTTTACATAAAGTTAGAGACAGCATAAATAAAAGTTAAGTTGATTAGTGATTGATGTGAGGAAACCAAGCCTTTGATTAAACAATTACCTTTATATGGTTTAAAGCTGCTTCCCAAACAGTACGAGGCAATAGGTTTGAAATTTGCTTTAGATGAAAAATGGTTAAATTATATACCTATTTTTATAAAATGTTAGATATTAATTAATTAAAAAAAAACTGAATCGATGAAATTATTTTAATAGTAATAATAAAGAGCATAAAATATAAAATATTGGTATATAAAAAAAATATCAAAATGCTTGAAAATATTTTGACAATGATTTATAAATAATGTATTGTTACCTTTATCTTAATAGATATTATATTAAAATCTCTTTATTTTTCTTGTTCTTTCATTTATGATTGCATGTATATCTCAACGTATTTATTTTTACTAATATCAGTTTTTTGCTTGTCATCTTTTTAAAACCGTCATAAACTATCGTGCACAAAGCACAAAAACATATATTGTCATCTAACAATGCAATAATACTTTTGAGTTTGATAGCTGCTTTAAAGTCACCAATGTCTCTTTTATGTGTGTGTGTGTGTTTTTTTTTAACTATCCAATATATATTTTGCGTGACCATTTTTAATTTTTTTATTATTTTGTAATATTATGCATATGTAATTGTTCAATTCTGAATTCAATGTGTGCATATTATGAATTTTAAAACTGAATTTTATAAACTAACGTTTTCTCCTTAAATTTTCAATGAAAACTGTATTATCTACAAAATAGTATATATTTATGAACAATTTTTTGAATATCACAATAAGCAAAATGTTAAACAAGTAAAGAGTTAAGAATAGGCCTTGATATAAATCTCTGTTTGTGAGAAAGAGTTATTGCATATAGTACATTTACCCGTGAGAACACAGAATCCAATTTGTTTGTTTATAATCCTAATCACTTTACTCAATTAATAATATTTAACATCTTTCCCATATTTTTACAATATCACCCCTATTCTTACATGAGAGTTAAAAATTTATATTTTCTTCTATAAAATATTCCTTTCACTTGTCTCTCATTTCTTTCTATTTCCAAATCTTACTAAAGACCAAGTGATACTTAGTTTTTATACACATTTTTAAAATATAGTAGGAATAGTATTAGGACCAACAATTATTTTCATTATATATGCTCTTAAAAGACTTTTTATGATTTTATTTTTTACTTCTTAAACTCAAATTTTACAATAGCAAGACAAATTTTGTTTATTTTATTGGATTCCATAATACTTTGATATCGATCGCAATCCTTCATATCATTGAAAAGTTTACGAACATACTTATCCCATCTATCCATGATATTTTTGAACTATAACCAAAATTTTCCAATTTTCATTTAAATATATTTTACTTTATTCGAATATCTTCGTTTCGATTCCTTTTACCAAGATACATATGTATTATGTTCAATAAAAAATATATATATATATATATATATATATATATATATATATATCAGTAATATTATTGATATATTAATGACTTAGTTTTATAATCCTAACATTAGTATATTTTAATTTTGATATGCATTTTGCAGAAATAAATATATTAATTAAATATAATATAAAATTTATTAGATTAATGTAAATTATAAGTAAAAAATTTAGTGAATAAAATAAGTAAATTAATTTTTGAATATTTATAACGATTAAATTAAATAATTGTTTGTTTCTAATACTCGTTGGTGGACTCAGTTTGGGATTTGTGTTGGATGAAAATTTTTAATTTAATTTATGATTTTAAAATGTCTGAGGTTTACTCCGATAGAACACTGATCAGTTCGGTTTCCACTTGAATGTTTGGGGAATGCCAGTGGCAGACACCTGGGCAAAATCCACGCAGTGCAAGAATGTGAGAAAATCTCAGTCATGAAAATCGTCGAACACTTCCCGTTCAGTCGCAGCGCACTCTCTTCCTTCCACTTCCACCTCTTCTCGCGTCCACTTTCCACTCATTCCCCGCAACCCCTTCACCAACGAAACCAGAACCAAGACCCTCACTCTCTAATGAAACAAGACCCAATCGAGATATGCACCTCACTATGGGTCAAAACCTTCTCCTCTCCGCAAAACACCTCGTTCCCCAACCTCACCGGCTTCCTCTCCAACTTCGATATCTGGCTCTTCGCATACCAACGCTCATGCGCCCACGCCACCGGCACCTTCCCTCCTCGTAACGCCGTTGGCACCCCCGTTCTCCAATCCCTGCTTTGCCTCCGTAACGCCGTAGTCCGCAACCGTTTTGAATGGAACGACAGAACAAACCCTCTTCTCCGCGCCCCCAACGACGCCGCCATTTCGAAGCCCCTCTCCAAACGCAGACTGCAAGCCGCTATCAAATCTGGCGCGCCCTGCTTCCAGGATCGCGTCGTTCAGGAGGTTCTCCTCATGATTCTTGAACCGATTTTCGAACCCCGGTTCTCCCCCAAATCACACGCGTTTCGACCCGGTCGAAACCCTCACACGGTTATTCGCACCATTCGGAGTAACTTCGCAGGGTACTTGTGGTTTCTCAAAGGGGATCTGAGTGAGATTTTGAACCACGTGGATCCACATGTTGTAATGCGTTCTCTTGAAAAGGGTACTAGGGATAAGAAAATTTTGGGGTTGATAAAATCTGCGCTTGAGGGTGAGAAAAGGCAACGTGTGTCGCGCAAGGAAGAGAATGTTGAGGAGTTGAGGAGGCTTAAGAAGAGGAGGGCTACGAAGAAGAGGATTCTGAAAGAGAATGAGCCGAAACCTGATCCTTATTGGTTGAGAACGTTTTTTAGTTTTGCTCCTGAGGAGGCTGCTAAGGTACCTAATTATGGACATTGTGGGATTTTAAGTCCTTTGCTTGCTAATGTTTGTCTTAATGAGTTGGATCATTGGATGGAGAAGAGGATTGTTGAGTTTTTTAGGCCTAGTGAGTTTGACTCCATATGGAAGTATTCGATTGATGATGGGTGTCATAACCCGGCCTGGCCAGAGTTTGTTCCGTCGAGTGGAAGGGAAAAGACTAGGAAGATGGATTACGTTAGATATGGGGGCCATTTTTTGATTGGGATTCGAGGGCCAAGGGAGGATGCTGTGGAATTGAGGAAGAAGATTGTTGCATTTTGTGAGAGTCTGTTTGGGGTGAGGTTGGATAATTCCAAGTTGGAGATTGAGCATGTTACTAGGGGGATACAGTTCTTGGATCATATAATATGCCGGAGGGTGATACACCCTACCTTGCGTTACACGGGTTCTGGAGGGAACATTGTGAGTGAAAAGGGTGTGGGGACTTTGCTCTCGGTTACTGCTAGCTTGCAGCAATGCATTCGCCAGTTTAGGAGGCTTGAGCTTGTGAAGGGTGATAAAGATCCTGAGCCACTTCCATGTAATCCTATGTTGTACTCGGGTCAAGCTCACACCAATTCTCAAATGAACAAGTTCCTCGAGACCATGGCTGATTGGTATAGGTATGCTGATAATCGCAAAAAGGTTGTTGGCTTTTGTGCCTATGTTGTTCGGAGCTCATTGGCCAAATTGTATGCTGCTAGGTATAGGCTGAAGTCCCGTGCCAAGGTGTATGGCATAGCTTCACGAAATCTCAGCCGTCCTCTGAGGGAGAGCACTAACAATTCTGCACCTGAATATTCGGATCTTTTGAGGATGGGGCTGGTGGATGCAATTGAAGGTGTTCAGTTTTCGCACATGTCTTTGATTCCATCTTGTGATTATACACCATTCCCAAGGAATTGGATCCCGGATCATGAGAGGGTGTTGCACGAATATATAAAACTTGAAAATCCCAAGTTTTTCTGTGAGTTGCTCAGATCTGTTAAGCAAAAAGGTTTAAATCTGCCTCAAGATGAGATATCTCAAATGGTATGGGACTACAAAACTCTGGGAGTTAGTTCTTTTCGATCTAACAAGGATAAAGAAATAAAATCTGTTTTGAAGGAGATTACTGAGTAAACCTAAAATTAGTGGAATCTTCTCAATGTCAAGGTTCTGCTTCCAAATTGGTGTGATCTGGTAGAAATTGGTTTTGTGCATTGTTGAGCCAATTTTTATTTGTTATGTTTAGTACTTCAGGGTGAAAATCCTTCAAATACTATTATCACGAGAAATGGTAGTCCGTGCAGACATATACATAAAAGGCTGAATACACCCATTGAATGGGCGCGGGGCTCGGATAACATCATTGTAAATAACTACTAAGTACTGACAATTTGGAACATGGCAAAAGGTACACACAATTTTTTTTTTAACATTGTTGAAGTGCTGGTAAAGGAAAAATTTTCTCATCAGAATATATATGAATTGAAGTTGAGATTTCTCGAGGCCGTGGATTTAACATGAATTTATGAACTGAGGAGGATATTGTTTATTGTATTAAATAAATATTGGTTTGCTGGTTATGTCACCATGGATTTCAAACTTGTATCTGATTCAATATGTGCTGAATTTTTGCCTATGGATTTTTGTTGATATTAATGAAATATTCAAGAGGACCTTTTTGTTAGAATCGCGCAACGGAATGTTTGCGTTTTCGGACAAAAACCAAGAGGGGTGAATTGGTTTCTTAAAAAAAATTAGGGTTTTAAAAATTTCTCCAAATTTTACCGATTAAAATGTTGTGTAAAGTAAATAGAGTAAGGATAGAGTCTTACACAGATAATTTATACTGGTTCGGATCAAAAGACCCTACCTCCAGTTGCTAATCACTCAAACAGAGGATTAACGCTGTCACTATAATCATAGTTTTACAAACAGATAACAATTGAAAAGATAAGGTAACGAAAACACCTCTCTTGAGTCACACAAGAGATGAAGAACAGTTTTCCCTAGAGACGGCACAACACACAATCTACCAAGAAAACCCACTTAGTGATTCTTATCGCTTCTAGTCCACCCTAGGTTCCAAAAACCCCTTTTTCCTTCAACAAACAGTTCTCTGGCAGTTACAGCTCTCAACTTTTGTTTTGAAAAAGGTTGTTCTTTTTTGCAGAGAGCCTTAGAGAACCTTAAGTAGACGGATTAGGGTTTGAGAATTGGGAATTTTCGAAACCTGGTGAATTGGGACTAGGGTTTTCGAAACTTGGTCCAATTTTGAAATTCAAAACACATATCTGATTGAAATAATCGATTATCTTGAGTGTTAATCGATTATTTTAGAACCAAATTCACCTGAAACCCAAAACCACGCAGTTTAATCAATTAATTGGGGAATTAATCGATTAACAGTCCTATTAATTGATTAACAGGGGCTTTAATCGATTATTCCAGAGAACTGATACAGAATATGGTTTTTCTCTCTCTAATAATCGATTATCCTGCCATTTAATCGATTAATCCAGTATGTTTTTGATAAAAATGAGTTTTTGAAGCTTTTAAAGAGTAGACTATGTGCTGGCTATTTTAGACTCTAATATTACAGACTCAAAATCATCAAAACAGAGTTATTACATAATATTACAAGTTTTCAAATCTTTAAGTCCTTTGTTCTTGAATCATCATCAAAATCTACAGGCTTCATATCCATGTATGTTCAACATTCATATCCTTATATGTTTCAACACTTTTAGCATAGGATATTAAGAGGTAGAAGGTCTTTTCTCGAATAAAAAGAGGAAATTCCATCTACTAGTAAATTTAATTATTGCAGGCTATATTTCTTGGACATCTGTAAAGTGACAATCTATGATATTTATAATATCTGAAATTCATGTGTATTGGGATTCTTTCCCTGCATCAAAATATGGTTCTGGTCTTTTATTTTCTGTTACCTCAGAACAAATCTCTTCCTTCTGTTCATATTGCTTTTGCTGTTTTTCTTTAATTTGGTTTTGTATAGCAGTTGTGGACCGAAAGTCATCGCGTTGTGCTTGTCTAGCATTCGAATCTCTAGCACAGTTTAGTTTAACTACAAAAGTCACGTGACTGTCAGAGATACATATGTTTATTAGGCTTTAATAAGACATAATTATAACCTAACGTATCCCAAAGTATAGATGGATCTAACATAGTTGGTCCCGGAATTTGTATTTCAATGTGTTAGTGAGAAATCGATACAAGGATCGAAAAAATAGAAGAGAAAATCGAAGATCATATGATTGGTTAAAAAGTTGGTAAATCGGAAGGATAGTTGGAAGATACCCGGTGATCACGAGATAGTATGAACGCATAAATCGAGTATCAGAAAAGAGAGGAAAACCGATGAAAGTAATGGTAATAGTGTAAAGTCAAGGTTAAGGGGAATCCTATTTGATATCTGGAATCGAGATCGAGGGAAACGGTTATCATGCATATAGAGCATGAGGAGTGGCTTTTCACATTGTGGCTGAGGTTAGAAATCGAGGAGCGGTTAAATTGCACGTAGAACGTGGAAGCGGTTTTCTAAACCGTAAGCTAAGGTAAAAAAAAATCGAAGAACGTACACATAAAACGTGGTGACAGTTTTTGAACTGCTCTTGGGAGGTTACATTGAAGGATGGCTATAAATAGAGCGAAGCTTGAAGAAGAAGGGGAAATTGGCAGTGACAACAGAATCATAAGTGAAAAGTCTACCGGAGAACGACGAATCATGAAGTTTCTGGCGATCTGGGTTTCCATTCTTATTGACTGTTTTTATCGTTTTCTTTACTTTTTCTGGTAATTTACTTTCATGTAACTTACTTGCATGCAATTTACGTTCATCAACTTTAAGTTTCTGTCATTTCAATTCCCTGTCATTTACCTTAATGCAAGTTAAAATTCTGTGCTTAAGTTCCTTGCCATTTATATTTTTGCAATTTCGATTTCCTGTTATTTTACATTTCTGCAATTTCAATTCCTTGCCATTTACATTTAATACAATTTGAGGTTTCCGCGTTTTTTATATTTTTTCGATTGTTGTCTTTACTTCGAGTTTCTTGATACAAAATATCATAAATAGTACTTTCGATTTTCAATTAGCACACTAGGTTGCGTTGTTAACATTCCTCGATACTATGGGATTTTCATTTCTCATACACGTTTCGATTGAAAATTGTCGTTAGCCTAAGTGAAAAGAATCTACGTGGTCGAAATTTGATCAGAACCTTTAATCGAAATCGATCAAATTTTGCCAGAAACACAATGTTTGGAATTTTGATGTAATATCCATCATTAAGGTTAATCGATCATTTTGTATATGTTATTAACTTCATAATTAAACATAAGCTGGAATTCTTGCAACTGCTTAAACTGTTTACCGAATGTGGGTCATATGATGAATTTCTTCAAAATTATGTTCATAGGTAGTTGAAATACCTAATTACACGCTTGGCATAAGATGTGTGAATATAAATATTTACTTTACTGGCAAAATGAAGCTTTAATTTAATGTTTACTTTTATTCGTGTACTTATGCAAATGTATAGTGGTAACTTGCATGGTCTATGGAACATTGGAACTGATTTGTAGATTGCATAAATTGGATTGTTATTGTTTGGATGTTTCTATTCTTCTGTTTCAATTTAAGGGAATGAGGGGGAAGCCTTTTTGCTTACTTCAATATTATATATTGAAAACTAGATACCTACTGGAGAGTGGAGACTATTCATGACATGAAGAAAACCTTGATGATATATATACAACTCGAGAGAAGTAAAGTTTTCAAGGTATGATGTTTATCATTCAGTGTACCACTTTTCCAGGAGCTTCCAGTTAGATCCATCCCAACTGTGGTGGAAACCGTCCTCTCTCACCGACCAATAAACTTTTTGGTGGCTTTTGTCTCTCATGGTATGGTACCGAAGTGGTGAACAACGGCAACCACTCAGCAGTGCATTTGAAATCTTGATCCACTGTGAGATTTTTGTTGTGGTGATGGCCAAGTTTGAGATAAAAGAAAGGACTTTCGCGCAGCCAAGTGCACCTTGGTTTTGTTGGGCAGGTCATTTCGTATATCAACAACTGTGTTTGGCCTGTGACGGTGAAGCCTATCAAGTGTTGACGTGTTCAGAAAATAGATCGAGAGAAAGAGTAGAAAGAAGGTGAAGAAGGGGTGGCGAAAAACCATGATTGCATTGAGTTGATGGTGATGGAATTGGTCTTTAAAATTAGTGTGGGAGGAGCACGGTATAGCGATTGAAACGTATTCTTTAGTTTGGGGCCTACAGTTCACACAATTCCCGGTTCGTGTATGCCTTTGTCTAGAAAGGGTAATATTTAAGGTTTATGTCATTTCGATCAAAGGTTTATGTGGTTGAGTTGAATCAATGAGAACACTATTTCTTTGTCAAAGTTCTCCTTGTAAATTTTAAAGTTAACCGCATTAGCTCGGTTTTAGGTGAAAAAAAAACTCTTCTAATTTTTCTACCGTTAAGAAAATAGGCAAACAGGTAAATATAAAGAGTAATTTAAAATAGCAAAAAAAATTGGTTAATTGTTCAATCAAAAAAATATTTAAAAAATAAATAAATATTCAGAATGTGATAGTGAAGTACTCATTTGATAAAAAACTGAAAAACATAAGATTTTAAATTTGTAAATATAAATAAAAGATAATTTAAACCTTTTATTTTGAAATGCAACTATAAACATTCTAACAAATATATCAGAGTTAATCACAATTTACTTGAACTAAATGTTCTTGTTTTCTAAACATGAACTCTCACGGCAAAAAACAAATGATGAGTTTTAATGAAAACAAAGCCTAATAAAGAAAGAAATGGACCAAGACAAAATAATAATATGTGACCATTTTCTATACTATAAATGTCCATCAACACACCCTTTCCTTTTTATTTCTTTCTTGTGACATTGTTTATTATACCTAGACCTTTTAGGTACATAACAAATGGAGCATGTATTATCGCACATTCGTTAGAATAGTTAAATTTTTTTTACCAAAGATTATTAAATTATAGGTCATTGTTTTATTTTTATTAAAAAATTATTACATGTTTTAGTTTAGTCTCTGATTAATTAATTATTTTTTTTATCTAGGTTTAAAAATTATAGCGATTTCATTTAAGAAATATTTATTTTTATTTTGAAAATATTTTAAAAGTTCAAAACAATGTATTATATATATATATATATATATATATATATATATATATATATATATATTGAAATATATTATTTATATTTTTTAAAACTTTTCATATTTTGAGTGACAAATATCAAAATTTATCTTATAATACTTAAACTAAAATTATTATATTTTTAATTTCATAAAAATACATTTTGATCCATTAGAGACTAAATTAAAAGATGTAATAACTATATTATTAAATAGAGAAATAATGATATAATCAATAACTTAAGAACTATTGATGTAAAAAATACTGTAATTAAGTCTTTGAAGTTTAATGGCAAATTAGTGTTGTTTAATATGTGGAGGGAGAGAGAAGTATTGTTATCAACAAGCAATCTTTTGGTACTTGTTAAAGTAATTGGAAGAATAACGTGGGAAAAACTGAGGCTCTATGAAGGGAGAATATTAACCTGTTAAGTTCTGCAACTATTTTATATTTCACAAAATTGACAGCATAAAACCAAAACGCAGACCTATAAATGTATATGCATGCATGTAACGTAACATATTAATTCATTAATCTGAATTCTCCATCAAACTAACCTGTATAAGAAAGGAAATTATTTTCTGGATGATTTTTGTAATTGCTAATACTCCTACCGTTTGTGCACTGTGGTGGTGTTGTTGTGCTGTTGTTGTTCGTCTTGGATACAGAAAGCAGAGAGAGGAAAGGACCTTGCAATGCCGGTGGAGTTGGCGAAGGAAATCTTAGAGGAAGCAGGGTCGTCGACGAAGATTTCAGAGATTGTGACCCATAGGAATAGCTCTTTGGTCTTGACCCCGGTCACCCTCCGCATGCGGTATTCCTCGACGAAGGCGGTGACCTCGGTGTCGTAGGAAACGGTGCGTCCTATGGTGTGGAAGCGATGCTCCTTCTTGTGCTTCTGCTTGAGCCAGACGAAGCCGGAGGTGCGGTTGTAGCCCATCTCCACGATGTTGTCCAAGGGAAGCAACCCTCTCGGGAGGAGAATCTCGTCCAGAAGGAGCCGTGACTTTTGCATGCACACCGCTTCGCCTTCGTATATCTCCGCCATTTCACGGTGGTGCGCTATTTTTGTGGTTGCCATTGTGGTGGAGGAAGTCACAGGCAGGGGGCAACGTGGGAAAATATTTAAGGTTAATTTGATTGGGACGAGAAAATTGGGTGAGTTTGGCTCGAATTAGAAAGAGGTGTTTTGTGTTGTGGGACCTTTAGCTCGTTAGTTAGTTAGATTGTGGGACCTTTAAGGTTATTTCTGCTTTTTTTAATATTGGATTAGAATTATTTATTATTTATAAAATTTAAGGTTATATTAATTATATATTTATGTATTTATTTTTTAAAATAATTTATACATGTATTTATCATATTAGCAACAAAAATAATATGAAAATTGTACAATTATTTATTAAAATAAAAAATTATTATATTCTTTTCTGTAAAAACCATCATTAAAGTTAGATAAAAAAAAAAAGTAGAGTAGAAAAAATCATACAAAATATAATTTTTTTCCCTTTGGTTTGGATGTTGTAGAAAAAGTATGGAAGAAAGAGTGAGCGGTACGTTTATTAGAGATTTCTCAAAGTTTTTTATTACAAGCAACTTTGGGATTACCGCTAGTTAACAAACAAATTATTCTCATAATCATTACATGAATTTTCCGGCAACTTTCAACAACGATTTGCATAATTCCATGATTAAAAAAATAGAGCACATTCCTGCTAGCTTGTAACATGTTGTCAGCTTTTCTCTATAAACAAAATAATTGTTCTTCTTTTTATATAATATATATATATATATATATATATATATATATATGTTTATAATTTAAATTTTTAACCTTTTGTTGAAAGACAAATCCATCATCTTCTAGGCTCTTTACTGTCTTTTTGTATTTTTTGACCTCTTTTGTGCTCTTAATGGGGTCTTAATCTTTTGATGATTCTCCCCACATCATCCAAAGATACTTCTGACACTTGCTGCAACAACTACCATTAACATAGGAGAAATCAGGGTGTGCCCTTTTGGCTCTTCCTTGATAAGACACTTTCTTAAGAGTGGTCCCATCACTGCTCTTCAGATTGTGTCTGTACTCCACTGCCACCTGCTCAAAAACTTCCACCTCAAACATGTTCATCTTCACCTGGGGCTTCATCACATCCCTAACAAATGCAAAGGGCAATTGGTCTCTTGGGTTAAATGCCTCCAACTCGTTGAACATAAGGCATGAGAAGAGGTTGCTACCAAGTCCATGTCTCCTCAATATCAAAGCACTATCTGGTACATCTACCATAAACAATTCAAAGAGGATACCAAATTTTTTAGGCATAGAAGATGGGGAAACAGTGTGGATGCAAAGTTGTTCTCTCATTATCTAATACTACAACTATTTAATGCCACTCCACTCTTATTTGATTTGGATTTACATAACTTGTATCTAAAATATCACTCCTTTTCATTCATCCAACCAATCATGGTTTAAAAAAAGTTTTATGAAATTGGACTAAACATTGTATATGCAAATATATTGAAATGACAATGATCGATACGCTAAGGGCTTTTAGGGATGGACAACATTGCCACATGCAAAATGATAACAGACAAGCCAAGTGAAAACAAAAATGATTAAGCCAATAGACAAAATTAGGTACAAAACAAGCATCTCCATGTGAGTCTCGCCCATCAATGCTTTAAAAAATGAACTACGATTGTTAAGAAATATGTTATTTGTAACAAAAAAAAAAAAACTACTTCGGTCAGTTAAATAGCAAGATCCAATACCTTTGGCACACATTTCAGGGTGTACAAACTTCAATTTGTGGACCATGATTTTTGTGAATGGTTTATCTACTTTCATTATTGAAATTGAATGCAACTTTTCTTCCTACTTGAATATGACGTCTTGTTAGATAAAAAAGTTGAGATCTTAGGCCTGCTTCCTTGTAATAATAAAGAAAGAAACCTAATAGAGTAGCAGAATAGAGCTTTGAATATATGTGCCAACGTCCTCAACATTAATTTCATAGTTCCATGTCATAAAAAATAATTGGTTAAGGACAACTAGGCCAAATTGATTGAAGAAAGAAACCTTCCTCCCATAAGCCTTCACCATTGAAGATATTACAGGCTTAAGGGCCATACAATATTTATGGTCAAAGGCGGTGCAAAAAGTTGTCACGTTCCTTAAATAATAAACGTCCTCACACTCTTCCAGATTGGAACTCATTAAATTAAAGGTTATTTGATAGTCAAAAAGTATGTGGTACAAAGCCTTTTCTATGGTTCTTGATATAATGCACTTAAATATGATTCATAAATTTTAATTAAATTGCTCTGGCAGCTAATATTTGCTAGCTTAATCCAACTAATCAAGTTTCAAGGAGTATCTTCAAAGCACATAAAGATTAACACTTATTGATGTAACAATTGTAATTTGTAAGTAAACAGCGTTTTCAATTCTGTATTATGAAAGCCCAGAATTCCATGACAGAAATTAACATTAGAAAAATGTCTAGTTACCTGAGGTATAGGGCTGTTTTTTGGGAGTCCATGGTTGCAGTCCATTTTCACAGTATGTTTCCATTTGCTCCTTCAAGGCATTGACATCCAACCATTTCTTCCACCTTGCTGTTGCCATTGCTTCTTCCATGGTATGAACATATAAAGGGTGCTTTGATATAGCCATGTCTACATCATCAGATATAACAAGTGAATGAATCAACAACAACGGATCAACCACCAGTTGCAACTTTGCATCTACCCAAATGCTGAATTGGGAATTTGGGAATAGTCTATGGACTAAATACTTAGGTATAACCCCGTTCATTGCTGGGTTCTCATACAAATTTTCTTTAGCAACCTTCACAATCCTCCACGCACCTATCTTGTATTCTGTTGAACTCATTGAAATTAATCCATGATGTTCAAAAGCTTTGAGGGTAACATCGTCTACGAACATAAAAAAACACACTTCTTGCAGTGTGTTGGATCCAAGGCCCTTCGGTTGGCGGATTTTATCATGATCATTGAAGATTGCTGAAACCACAACCACACTATCACACTGTTCCATCGCAATTCGATCTATACATCAGGAGAAAAAGGTATATACCATAAGCAAATTACTATGAAATATCAAACGAAAGAAAAACACTTGAAAATGAAGGATTTAACTCTTTTAAACAGTATTTGCAATCTATGGAAGCGTGTCATTTCAGAAATACACGTTGAAATGGTAAGGGTACACTCTATAATATTCTTACCAAATGAATTACAATTTCAACTATTGAAAATTGAAAATATATTACTGTCATTTCAGAGAAGCGAAACAGGATGATTATATTGGGACTAAGATCTCCTAAATGTAAATAATATAGGCCAACAAAATGGTTTACTTTTCCCATATATGAATCTCAGTGGCATGTTATAAACCAATCAACGGTTGATGATTGGGAATTTCAAGGGTGAATTAAGATCTGACTAGTGAATTCACGTGTAACTGACCAGAATCACTGACTGGAAAATTCTTCAGAAATCCGCAAGGAACTTCAATATTATCATTTTGATGATCGAAATAAGAAAACCTGGCAAGGGTGCTGATATTCCCGCCGAAACTATCAGCATTCCCATGCATATACCGCAGAGCCCCTGAATGAGGCCGATTGGTCTCGCAGACACTCTTGATCTCCTCCACAACATCCCAGTAATCTGAATCCACAGCGCACGACCCATTAGCAAAAAGTGATCATCTTGATGGCGTAAACGAGAAAAAAAAAAAAAAACCGTGATAAGATGACTGGTAGGTAATAGGTACCTGAGAAAAAAACAGGGGAGGAGCATGTAGAGCGGGTGGTTGAAACTGCGTACTTGTGTTCTCCGTAGGAAGAGGGGTAAGAGAAGAAGGAATACTGAAGGGGATCCATAGGGGATGATCGGAAGAAACATTTGGAGTGAGAGAGAGTGGTGTAGAGAGCAAGGAAAAGAGTTGTGAAGAGATAGATCAGAGAGAAACAGAGGAGCTTAGAGTGGAGGATTAGAGGTTTGGACGTGGTTATCAGCCTCCCCATACTGAAAAAAAAAATAAAAAAAAAAGTGATTTTCATTGAGGGGCTTTCCATCAAAATAGATTTAAAATGTTACGATTTTAAAGATGTGGAATGATATTTTGACGCCTCCCATCCAAACAACTCCTCTACAATTCATTTTTATTAATATAATACTAAAAAATTTAATAAAAATAAATTTAAATTTAAATTATTACTATAATATTAAAAATTATATAAATTTGGATTCTCAAAACATATTTTTTTTAGAATACGGGTCAATTTTCCTAAAATGACTTAGTGCAATATAAAACGATTTTACAAAACTAAAATAGTGTTTGATGTAATGAATTTAATAATATATTTGTATAAAATTAAAGTGGTAATCCACCTTTCCTTATATATTTATATCACTAAAATCGTATCACCATTTTAGTTTTTTTCTAATAATATAAATAATTTTATTAGATAAATATATTATTTAAAAAATTAATAATTTATTTATTTATTATTATATATTTATATTATAAATGTTATTAATTATATCAAATATTATTAATTATATCAAATATTATATTATATAATTTTTTTACAAATAATAAAAATAGAAAAAAATATTTTAAATAAAAAAATATATTAAAATTTTTATATTTAAACATAAATTATGTTATATTATTTATTTCAAAATTAATAATATATATTTTTCAGTTTTTTAAAATTAAATTAAGTTTCTTAAATAAAATATTATTTAAAAATTAATAATTTATTTATTGTTATATATATATATTATAAGTTATAAAATATTATATTAATTATTTTTTTATATTAATTATTATTTTATATAAATTTTGTATAAGTAGTAAAAAAATAATAAAAGTAATATATATATATATATTAAATTAAAATTTTGTCATATAATATTATATTATATATAATTTTTTGTTATTATATGTATATTTTTTATTATATAAATAATGTTTTTTAATTATGTTAATATTATAAAATTAATTAAAATATTATTTGAATGAAAAAATGCAAAAATATTTTTAATATTAATTTAAAAATAAATAATATAACACAATTTAAATTTAAAAAATTTATATGTATATTATTTTGTATTTAATTTTTTTTTCAATTTTTATTAAAATTTATATATAATAAATAATTAATATAATACTTTATAACCTAAATATATAATAATAAATAAATAAATTATTAATTTTTAAATAATATATTTATCTAATAAAATTAATTCAATTATTAAAAAAAACTAAAATTATACTTGGTACCGAAATTATAAATAAATTTTAAAATATTTTTAATGAACTTTGGTGAAAAAGCCATTTGCTTGATCGTGACCCTCAGCGGCGGTTATTTGTCTTTTTCAACAATCTTAATTTTTGTTCCCCTCTAGGTGGGCCTTCTTCTTACACAAGGCTCCAATTGGTTAAGAGTACAAAAATTTGCTGTAACCCTTTGCTTAATTATTAACAATTTACTAATGTCAATCTTGGTAAGAGATTTCACCTAATCCAATATTTTAAGAGTTAAATAATATATTATTAATAAATAAATATAAATAAATAAAAAATAATATAAGTAAATATTTTTAAATATTAAATTTAAGAAAATCAAAATTAACGAGTGAATTTAACATCTTTAGAAAAGTTATTGTTAGACAAATCACATCTAGAGTGGTGAATAAATACACAAATTAAATAAATATCAAATTAAAAATTTATTTTAAGATGTATAATATTTATTAATTCAATTTTAATTATCAAATTGAACAAAAATAAAACTGAAGATATAATCAGAGAGATAAAATATTAACAAGATTGAGAAAGATAGAGATAAAAATAAGGGGTGTAAGGAGAGTAATATAGTGAAAAAAGATAAGGGAAAGAGAAGAGCACACAGTGATTTATACTGGTTCGGGTATAGTCAACTCTATATCCAGTTCCCAGTCAACTCTTAACACAAGAGTGGCCCCAATTCACTATCTTTTAAATTCAGTTCACAAATTACAATCAATTCAGAAAAAAGTAAACTAATTCAAAAGACAATCACCTCCTTAGAAACTCACTAAGGATGAACATCTCCCTAAAATTTCACTAGGGATAAACACCTCCTCTGAACAAATCAAAGGATGAACACACCTCCTTAGAATCCAACTAAGGATGAACATTTCCCTAAAATCTCACTAAGGATGAACATCTCCCTAAAATCTCACTAAGGATGAACATCTCCCTAAAATCTCACTAGGGATGAACATCTCCTATGAATAAATCAAATGATGAAAACACCTCCGTGAACAAATTAAAAGGATGAACAGTTTCCACACAGGAAACCCAAACAAAATAACAGAATGACAGTGATTACTTAAACCCTAAACAGAGAATTTAACAATCAATCACTTAAGTCCACAAAGGATGAAGGTAATAAAATAAGAGTAGTCACACCTGAGTAATGGAGACAACAAATTGTAGAATGTCAACCTCCAAGAATAAGTGTGATTAACAATGAAAGTATAGTAGGTAATGAAGAAGAGGGTTTTGGTTAAATATCTTTGTGGCCATATATCTCTTACCTTGCTCAGAATTCTTTTCTCAAAACTGATTGAATGTAAAATTGTATTTTCGAATTCTGTGATTGTGTTTTTTATTTTCCATCAAAACTTAATTAAATAGAAAAATAGTATTAGAAAATGACTTCATAGATAAAAATAAGGATATATTCAAAATATTTATTCTTCAACTAATATTTTTCAAATTTGAACTGGCATAATTGATTATGTTACCAATATAATCAATTATGACAAAGAAAATCGTTTTTTCATTTCTGATATATCATAATTGATTATGACAGTGAAAAATGTCATGTTACTAAATTTTATCACACTAATGTTTATGCATAATACCATTTCATCAACTTGTATCTACATATCCAATATTCTAAGACTCTATCTAATCTTCAGGAATCATCTTGGGCTTGCTTAAATCTTGAATAAAATCTTTATCAAATCATATATTGGGCTTACTTGAGTCTTGAATGTTGTTGACTTTAATCATCTCTTAAAAATATAAGGATATGTTTAACGTTATGATCAATTTCTCCCTTGATGGTTTCAGTTATCACCTCCTAAACTCTCCATTACATATGTGATATTTATCTATTTATACAAAGATGATTACTATGTTTTAACCCTCCAATACGTATGTGATATTTATCTATTTATACAAAGATCATTACTATCTTTTCAACGTAGTTTTACAATTTAAAAACTTTTAAATGATTTTGTGTGATGGATAGAAACATAACAAGGAGAAATTGTATTATAGGAGGAAGGATTTTACTAATAAAGGAGGTACTTCATATAATATCATATAAATTTATTCAAGCAATTACATAATGATTATACCACAGGATGTGCTTTTTAGTTTGGAAAACAATGTAATAAAATAGTTATTTATACGATGTGAAGGAGTTAATTTGGATCTTTCTCTCTGCAGCCTTTTTGGTAGCAATTTGAAGTCGAAGCACGTGATGCTCAAACTGATCAAAATCGATATCAATTTGATGACCGATAGCTGGGTCTCGCACCATAATGAATTCATCCCAATTTTCTTTAGCTCTCTCCCTGTTCTCCAGCATTTTGTGCATAATTGCCTGTAAAATATTTCCAAAACAAGGTAGCCATATGATTCAGTCATGCACTTACATCTTCATCTTCGTGTAAAAATGGGAATAATACGTACCTTGAATAGTGGGCGTCGTGCATCCTTAAGGGATTCTTCTGCCAAGCATTCACATTTCAACCCACTTTTTAAATCTGACTTTCCTCCCTGCCAATAACACATTCAACAATTCATCACTTCGATCAAATCATTTGTTTATGGAAAAATGTTTAATCAGAAATTAATTAAACTGAATTTCATACCTTGTAGATCAACACTTCTACTAAAAACATCTCATACTCGTAGGCTTCATGTGGTTTCTGCTTTTCATTCGCATCTTTCAACGCTAGTCTAAGTATTTTCTCTGCATAATCTTCCTCTCCCCACATTTCCAACTCTTTTACTTTTTGCTTCAATGTATCATAGACAACACACCTCTTAATGTTTCAAGATAAATAACAAAGCAGAAAGAAGCAGAAAACACTAAGATATGAGCAAAAATATCCCTATTTTTTTTTTTTTTTACCGTGTGTTCGAAAAAAGAAACAGAAAAGAGAGAAATTATTTTTGTGAGACTTATCAAAATAAATTTCTCATTTTTCAAAAATGATTTCTTTCTTCTGTTATACGCCTAATATAAACAAAACATAAACATGGGGATTAATTTGCTATTCAAGGTATATATATTCTAGGAATTCAAGCAGGATTTCAGAAAATATTGACACTTTCCAACGTCAATCTGGAACATAAAGAAGCAGGTAAAATATATTTAAAGTATGAAACCTGAATAATCCTCAAATCAGGAAATTCATTTCCAAATTGCATGATAAGAGTATAGGCACTTTCTAGTACTGATGGATTTTCGTATTGTTCTTCCATCAGTCTTTCCAATGCTGGATACCCACTATGGAGTTGTCTAACGATGAAGGACCTGGTAGCGTGAACTCTGGGCTCGGGCTTGGGCTTGGGCTTGGGCTTGGTCCTGGTCCATCTTAGTATCACAAAAATCAAAAGCGAAACGCAGCCAAGGATAACATAAGATATTGCTTTCATGGCATTTGCCTCGTACTTAGAACTGACATATGAGACAAAATTTTCCATAGCTTCACAACTTTGAGCAAGAGAAAAGGTACAAATCTTTTCTACCACCGGCTTCATACTCAACCACTGTTCCTTTTCCTCCACAGAAGAGAATAAGAGTATAACAATAATAATAATAATTCAGATGAATGTTTTTCTCATAGTATTTAGCACAAAAGCCAAAGTGAAAGCAATATAAATAGTGCTCTGAAATGTCATCAAGTATTGTGATTCTATTCTTGACAGATAGGTCAAGAAATGAATATCTTAAAGAAAACCTTTAAGTAAAAGATATATGCTGCTACACATAGATGTGAACGTGGATGTTTGCATGATAAAAGTCTGATATATCCATCTCTCTGAATAATGTGCAACCATTCTAGATTTTAAATACTCCTTCTGAAATGCCCCTCACAAAGACTAGTTTTAACACAAGTAGAAAGTTAGATAAACTATGTTATGTTACAAGCATGAGGAAGTATTTATCATTTTTGTGAATGGCTCATTTTTTTAAAAAGAAAAATCCCATTGACCACTTATAAGGACTTCCTCTTACATTTTTTTTCATCCATAAAACTTAAATATAAGATATTATATCAAAAAGTTATATTGTAAGTAAAAGATATATAACATTTAAATAAACAAAACCATAATAAAATAACTTTACACTAAAAACTTTCTTATATTTATAAAAACGACATGTATGTTCTCGTAATTATCTGATGCTTAGTCAGGTTTTAATTAAATTTTTGCATTTCTTTTGAATTCCATTAAATAATTTTTTTTTTCACGGGCTAAAGATTTATTTTTTGGTATTATTATCTCCAAAACATTTGAATTCGTCTAACTTTTTAAGAGAAGTTTGTCTTATTGTTTTTCTGGGGACGCCATAAATTTATTTAAAAGCGGATAACGCCTCCTTTCCATTAAAAGGTTGGGCCGAAGCAAGCCTGTTAACAAAAAGTGGGTTTTATAAGTCAAACTCTGCTTGCAGTACTCTTAAACGTGCGTTTTGTTTATAAAAGGCCTGGGCTCTGACAACCAAAGTTGTTCGGCCCAATTAACTAAAATATTATCCAAGTCAACTTTTTGTACAACATCAACATCTTTGATCTGGAGCAAAACGAATTATAAAATTTAGAGAAAAATGGCCCAAAGTTGTGGGAAAGCACAGCCTAAAATGAATTGGTCTAATACCATACTCAAGAAGAGGATTCAATCTCATAATTATACAAGTGGAGAGATGTATTTAGTGAGTGTGTGATTTCACAGTTCAATTTTTTTTTTCTGTTTTAATCTATATTTATTTGAATCTGAAACTACTAGATTAGTAGTTAAAATATAGTAGCCATATATCATACGAGTGTGTCAATTTTAAAGTTACATGTTATAAATTCACATTCACAAATTTAATGTTCAGTCATGTTTCCAGAATTTCCTCCAAATGAAGGAACAGTATAAAAAAGAAATAACTGAAAATGTTAAAATCAGATGGGCTTATAATATTTTCACGCTCGCTAAAGGTTCTAACAAAATAATTTTAAACTATTAAAAATGTGTATTCAATTTAAATTCTTTCATAAAGCTCTCATTTTTGGTATAATTGATCGAAAATTATAAGATTAATTAAAATAGTTATCATATAAATGTAGATTAATTATCATGATCTACGATTAACTTAATCCACCATGAAATCAAACATGTATGTGGTCTCGGGTGGTGATTGGAGCCAATTGAAGACGGTGTATGTTTGTAGGCAAAACTGAAACCAATGGTGAGAGAATGTGGTGTTAGTGGGGAAGAAGAAAAAGAAAAAGAAAAGTGCTTTGAAACTGGAGATATATTGCGCGTGGCGTGATGTATGATGGTTGGGGTTGGATGTAGATGTCAATGTCTGGGCACTTGAGAACTGGCAGTGCAAAGAGAAGGCGAACGAAGGGTTTTACGAAAAGCGATGGAGAATCGAATCGGAGTGAGTACAGTGATGGCAATGGCATGCATAGTTTTGAAAATTCAACTTTGGGATGAAGAAAGTGAGTGGGAAGCAGTGTAAACCGTTTATTAAGGATGACATGGCCACCCAGGAAAGCAAAAAATAAAATAAAAGGCATTCATGTGTCACAGCCACAGCGGTCGAATGAGTTGGGGCAGGGAGGACCAAAGCATATAGTTACATACAGAGATGGAAGTAAAGTGTAGGGAATGCGTGTGAGGCTAAGACATGACGTGTCAGGAGGTGAGAGAGGGACTTATGAGGAGAGAGTGTGAATATGTGCCACGTATAGGGAATTTCTTTGGGACGTAATCCCCAAGAAAAGAAGGGAATGTGAGAGTGATTGAGAGGGAGGGCACCCCCACAGGAAGAGAGGAACAGAGAGAAACATGAAAAAAGTCAGGAGTAGTAGTAGTGTTGTAATAACAACTGCACCTTCCTGTGCTCCTCAATAAGGGCCGTCAAATGCCCACCCTCCCCAACCAACATCTGCATACTTCTCTTTCCTGTCGGGTATGAGGACCACACCTTCTCAAGGGTCAATTTAATAACATCTATGATATGCGTCACAATTTCAATCCAACCATTTCACATCATCATCCACAATTTCCTCATAATACTTTTATGCTCCAACTGTATTGAATGAATCTTTCAAGTCCCCCACATTTTCCTTGCCAAAAATGTAGTTGGTGTAAATGATTATGGCTCTGAAAAATGAACTGAAGCAATAATAGGTTTATCCTTAGTTAATGATGCTGTGAAGTGAAATAAAATAAGCATATTTGCTGATATAAACCGTCATTTTATCTTGGGTGATTGGAACAGAGCAAGTGAGTTCCTTAACAAGGAGAAACATCAATAATTAATCTAATCTATGTTTTTTTGTAATAAAATTTTAACATAAAATTAATAAATAATATATAAAATAGTCTAATGTATTTGAATTATATTAAAAAACATGAGTCCGGTTATGTAAAACTTTTAATATACTATCTCCAATAAAGTCTGGATCTCGTAAAGAATATTTTTGAAATAATAACTTTTAACTCAAAATAATAATAAAAAAGATATTAAAATTTTATATTTTTTATCTAATATCATTTTATATGATTTAAATATATATTAGATTTCTTTATATATTTTCAATTAATTTTATGCTGCAACCTGATATTATAATCAAATCCTCGTCTTAAGTACAATATTTTCTTTTCATTGTGGGTTAAAAATTCTCTTTACCTAATCTCCCAGACTCGTTTCTATCTCATATTATCGAATATAATTTAAATATATTTTATATTACCACCTTAACACATATATTGTTTATCTGTTTTATTCGTACTCGATACTCCATTAAGATTCATATGTATATTTTTTAATTTATAGATGCTGAATTAAGACTCATATTTATATTTTACAATAATCATTTTCTTACTTTCATCTTATTTCATCGATATCTTTTCAAGTTTACTAACGGTCTTTATATATATCCACGCGACACGCTTACCTCACTAAGTGAGAAGATTTTCAATACTATTTTTCTTAAAGAGTATATAACTCTTTCATATCTCATTTTTATTAATATAATAATTTATTAAATAATTTAATAAAAGAATGGTAATACTTTATTAACAATCTTTTCAATAACTCACTTTTATTAATATAATAATTTAATAAAAATAAAAATTAAATAAAATTATTATTATAATATTAAAAGAGAATTGTTTATAAAAATTATATAAATTTAGATTGTTAAAATATCTTTTTTTTAATAAAAATAAAAATAAATTAAAACTACTATTATAATAGAAAAATTATATAGATTTGAGTTGTTAAAATATTATTTTCTTTTTTTTAAATTGTAGTTCACTACACACATAATTAATTTTGATACCAGTATTCAATCTTTGAAGATAGATTAATTAAGAGTGATAACACCAATTAATATCACTAGTGAACCTTTCAAAAAGAATTAATTAGAAAGAGACAAGATCATTAAAAACTTAATTCACATAAAAATTAATTACACCAGCAATTCAATCCAAAACATGAAGAGATTATATTATAGATATTTTCTTTCTTATACGATTGCTGATCCTGTAAACTACCCTAAACTTACATTTACAAATCCAATCAATCCATTCGGTGTCCTCTGTCAGTTTGTCCACTACACAAAACATTTTCTTTGCACTAATTAGAACTTTATTTGTTCGTGTCAGCTAGGTTATGCTGTCAGTCAATGGTAACTCCAATTGGCGTGGCCGTAGTGCACTTCACTTCTGTCTTTTCCTATATCCTTTGGGTAAAGGATAATCACTCTCTCCACCATCGTACTTTCTTCTTCTTCTTTTATCTTTTTTTTTCAAAAAATACCCTTTTTAGTGATTGGATATATACTAGCTGAGAAGTAAAATTATGAAAAAATTGGAGAGTTGACGGGTGAGGTGATGAACGAAACAGATAGGAAGTAGTGACACACTGGAACACATCGAACACGCCTCAGACTGCAGGAAAGAGAAAAAAGTGTGTCGCCCCATCAGTCAATCAAGCACAGACCACTCACTCCAAATGCATTTCACTGTTACGTTCCATCTCTCTACTTTCTGTTCCATCTTTCTACTTTGTAGCTTAGTAGCTTGCCATTACCATTAACATCTTTGGTTTTGTTTTCTTTGCCTTCCCTGGTAAATAATGCCTGTGCATCATGACTTCACCAACTCTCCTGTTTCTGTCTGCATAAATGCAAAAAATTGGTAGTAAAAGCTACTGCTCATGAAGTGGGAACAGCAACAATTTCTCAATTATTCAACACACATTTCATTTCTTACTTTCTCACTCTAATCTTCCTCACCAAATTATCAGTCTAATAACTAGTAATCCCTACTTGGAATAAAATCCACTTCCATTGTTGATAACTACTCTCTCCATTAACTCTTTCAACTGTTGCCTCCATCCTAAATTATTTACACTTTAATCTTCTCAATTTATCTCAAAATAAATATTCTTTCCATTTTATGATATATATTATTAATCATTTTAACTTTGTCTTACAATACATGAAATAATAAATAATATAATTATTTTGAAGGTAAAATATCACTAAGAAAAATATGATAAATTTAAGAAAATAAAATCAGTTGTGGTAAATTAAAGTACTTTGAATAAGGCTTCAAAAGTGGAATTGTGGTGGAGAATGTAGATGTGTACTGTTTTTCTGGGTTACATGAAACGTATTTCGTTTTGGCAAGCATGGATAGAAATGGTTGATGCCGAAAACTCGAAAGGTCTTAATCTAAACCCGCACGGTCAAAATAGGTATACTGTTCAAACGGGAAAGCAGAAAAAAGATAGAGCCATGTCTCACACTCCTTCAAGTGTTAAGTGGATATAAATTCATCTTCTACTGAATCACATGTTAAGTTGAGTTTTTTATTAGAAACAAAAAATTAAATTTTGATGTGACATTCTTAGCATTGGTGTTCTTTGACCAACCAAATCTTTTTCAAAGACGGTAGAAGAACAGGTAACGAAGCATTAAATAAACAATCAAATGGCCTGCACAAAATCCATTGCTCTTACTATTTAACGGCTAACCAATCATCTCTTTTATTTTTTTTAAATCTTTATATTTTAGATTAATTAATTTAATTTTTACTAACTTTAAAACATATATTATTTTAATTACTATATTTAAATTTAATATTTGTTTAACAAAATTATCATAATCAAATTCATAAATATTAAATTCAAAATATATCATGTAGAATTTTTTATATCTAAATTTATCATTTAGTAATGATATTTTATTATCACAAAATTGAAATTAATTATTTTTTTAATTTAAGAATTAAGTAATTGATTTGTAAGATCAAAATCAATTTTTATATAAAAAAATCATAAACATATTTATCCTTAAATTTTATATTATTAAAACCTACTCAAAATTAGGTGTTCGCCTAATAATTTCATATTCTTAAAACTTTTTATATTATGTATCTTTATCTTTTCATTTCACACTATTCAAACTTTTTTTATCTTTTGTGTATTCTTATATTGATTTCACTCTACTAAATATTTTTTATTTTTATATTCATCATATTGATTTCACATAGTTAAACTTTTTATATTTTGTGTGCTCATCTATCTATTGGTTTTACATGATTAAAACATTTTATATTTTGTGTCTTCACTTGTTGATTTCAAACTGCAAGAATCTTTTATGTTTTGTGAATTTTCTAAAAATTTTCAAAATTTAAATAAAAGAAATTATTCGTACATATTTTTATAAAAATTTAAAAATTAATATGAAATATAAAAAATTTAAATATTATAATTTAACTTAATAAAATACTATGCGGTCTGATTGTGTTTGAATCAGATTGAATTATGGTTTAAATCAATACATTTTATCATTATTTGAATTTTTAATGTTTTAATTATTAAATCTATTTATTGTTTGTTTGGTATCATTAAAAAAACATAAAGAGAAAGAAAAAAAGTTGATTAATTGTATAAAAACAATACATAATCCAGTGAAATAGAGACTTACATGAAAAAAAAATAAAGAATTAAATGAATGATAAATAAAAACGTACTTATAACTCTATTTTTATTCTATTTGATTTTGTTATGAATTTATTTATATGGGCATCATAATACGTCTAAATTTCGATTATATACATCCTTTAAATTTATTTGACCTAGTCTTGTTTTCATATATTACCAAATTCAGTAGAGTCAAATTAAAATAAACGTCCCTGTGGAAATGTTGAACGAAGCAATGACAAAAATGAATGAATTCGAACTATTCTTATGATATGTCGGTTGAAATATCAAGATAGAGATGTATGATTGATTTTGTCTTAGTTTGTTTGTTTTAGAAGAAAATATACCTAACACAATAATTTTAGTCAAACGGTATATTGTTGTATTGTATTGGCCTCCCAGAGAATATTTTGTAAGGATCTTTGTTGTGTTATTGAGAACAAATTATCGTTGTGTTGTCTTTATGAATAAGACATTTTCTTCACTTACTTATTCGAAGCTAGTTCTTTGAAAGCTCAACCATGTACGTTGTCCACTATTATGAACATCGTAATTACGCTGTAATCCAAGAAAACTTGTCTTGCTCAATCCAATTGTGAAACATTGTTACACTATCTAACCATCAACGTTGATAACGTAACCATACTACATGTGACTTCCAACACGTTATTTTTTAACAAAATTATCGAATAAAATAAATCATAGGATAACTCATGTTCCCAATAATAAAACTTGTCCGATCAAATAAAGAATATTTTTGAATTATAATAAAATGACAATTATTGAGATAACCAAGGAAAAGAAGTGAAACTTTTTCTTTAATACCATATTAAGATTTTAATGTAAAATAAATTAATAATATAAAAAATAATCAAATAAATATTCAAATCATATCCTATAACATGACGATACAAGACTTCCACTAATATAATTTTTTCACCGTATAAGTCTTATATTTACATAACGATTCGAGATAAAAAAATAATAATCTCATGTTAAGATATAAATTGAAAATAAAATATTATATATTATGCATAAACTTACATAAACCTAGTTAATTTAATTATTTTTTACCACCTTACAATATGTTTAATCTAAGTATTATTGGACTACATCTAATAAAGGATGGCGTTATTATATATGTTTTTCTTTTGACTCATTTAACGTATTAGATGAAATCAAACATATGTGTCCAGGACACCAAATACCTAAACAATGGGGTTGTGATGGAAAAGGATGACTTAGTTTAATGAATCCAGTTGACAATAACAATTAGCATGCAAATTAAATACTCAATACTTCCTCTTTCCTCCATATGGCTACGTTCCTAACTTATTAGATTATGACTACCCTTCGGATTAATCTTTATTTTTATCACCCAACTCAAGTTTCAGCAATTTTTTTAACTTCTAACAAAATATATTATATATTTTTGTCTTTATTTTGTTAACATTTAGTTAAACTTTTTTTTTCATTGTTTTCTTCGTGTGTCACTAAGAAAAACACGATGTTCATCAGAACAAAACTTTGTTTGAAACTTTTTGTTGATGGAATATTACTTACAGTTACTTAAGCACAATTTATACAAATAACATTTTTTAAGCAAAAAATTAAGTAGAAATTATTTATATTTCATACATGTCTTACATCATTTAAGAGTTAAAGTAAAAAATAATTTATATATATATATATATATATATATATATATATATATTTAATTCATTAATATGTTTTTAAAAATCAAATAAAAAAACACGATTAGTAAAGAATATAATTGTATATGTCAAAATATATTATCTTTAACGTACTCACAAATTTATGGAATTTATGAGTGTCATAATTTATTAATATTTTTTAAAGAAGAATATTACTATGTGATGTTTCTAATTGCGGTTCAAATTCGACTTTGGCACTTATTAATTTGAAATATTTTGATGATTTATTCTCTTAATCAAATACTAATAAATTTTTTTGTTATTAAAAAAAATATATTGAGAAAATAAAATGTGTAACTAAGAAAAAAATAATTAGTTTATTTATTAATTTGTAGAAGAAAAAAAAATGAGAAAAGCATATATAATTGAAAAATAGAAACAAAAATTATAATTTTTTTATTTATAATTAAAATAAATTGAAGAAAATATTTATTAAAAAACAAAATAGAGAAAAAATAAACAAATAATTAATATATTAAAACGATAAGACACAAATATTAGAAAGGAGGATATATATATATATATATATATATATTATAATTATTTTATAAAATGTGTTTACTTGGTTTTTAATAAAAAGATTAAATTGTTTTATTGAATAAATATTTTTTATTATATTAAAATAATTTTGTAGGTTATCTAAAATAAATTAAATATTGAGATTAAATTTGGTTGAATTTAGGTCCAAAATTGACAGTATAAAGTCAATAATAAGAAGTAAATCACCTAATAAAAAAATTATAGATGAGTAAATTATTTATAATTCTTAAGAATTTGCTTGGTAGGTTTTTTAAGGAAAATCATATAATATTTTGGTTATGTAAAGATATTGTCGAAGTGTTGAAGAAGAAGGATTGAACTTAAGCTCTCCATTATTTAGTAAAGCTAAGTTTTAAAAATATCAAAGGAGAGTTAAATATTCAAACAACTTCAATGATATATCAAAGTAAAGAGAGTTAAATATTCAAACAACTTCAAGATATATATCAAATTAATGAAAGTTAAATATTCAAGCGGTAATATATAAAAAATGAATGTATATGTATGCTGTGGACATTTTAAAAAACATGTTTAGTTTTTTTTTTTTTAATGAATATAACACATATAATTGATATGTTGTATAATGGTGCTTAGAATCTGTGTATGTTGATGTGAAAAAAGTTAGTATGGGATATTGATCTATAAATAATAAAATTGTATTAGGAGTTGTGGTTCAGTAGTATGACAACTATATTCATCACCAATTCAATTTAATGAAATCTTAAGTTCTGTTAATAATTTTATAATTATAAGTTCTAGGTGATGAGAACATATAAAGGGATTACTAATAGTACAAAGTTACATTAGGATAATAATATGATTAATAATTCTATATTACGTATATAAGGGATGAGAATGATATTGGGTTGGGATTATATCTTATATAATATTAATTAGAATATAACATAATCTATATATGATATTTATAACGTGAAAAAATAATAATGAAATTATATATATAAGTGAATTATTTTTAAATAATTATTTTCTTTTCATTAACTTAATTAGTACAATCTTATTATTTACAGGAATATTGTGATAGAGAAGAAAAATTTCATTTAACGCCAACAATAATTAATATAAATATATTATATATCATTATATTTGAATTTAGATCAATAATAATAATACTAATATTATGTACTAGATTTATTTATCGTCATTATAAATATGATATATTGGTAAATGATAATTATGTAAATTAATAGGGATATATATATATATATATATATATATTAAAGAAAAAAATTACTCGTACAAGTTTGATTAAAGGAAATTTTAAATTTCATTTATTTTGTAAATTTTATTCAACTATAGAATTGATATTTAGAAAATTTTAAAATTTTATATAGTTAATTCATAAATAAAACTAAGTTGTAAATAAAGAAAATTATATACACGTAGTATTGATAAATAAATTGATCTTACTGTTTTTTTTTTTTGTTTTCATAATACTCCAACTGTGTAAAATAAATTTGAATGTGCTACTAAACGCGTTTCGAGTATTTGAAAAATGTTATTCTTCGTTTTTTCATTTCTGTTTTATGTTAGCCGACGTAGTACGTATAAAATCAAATAGTGATAAATCATATCACATTATATAATATGCAAAATCTTATTTTATAATAACATTACTGATAATGGATTAATTACTCGAAAAACTATATATTAGACGTAGACTTAAAATTAATAAATAAAATTATTATATAACTTAAATTAATAGTGTAATAGTTGTATAGGAAAAACTGGTTGCATATATATAACAACCCTTTCTAGAAAGATGTGGCTAGGTGAAAAGCGAGGTGTGAACAAATATCCTTAGATAGAGACTAAATTGAAGAATATGAAAAGGAAAACAAGAAAAAAAGAAAAAGAAAAAATATAAAAATAAGAGACGAAATTCATAGATAGACCCTTCCTCAAGACACTATAAATGCGAATGAGAAGAGAGGGTGGGAGCAAGATGGCTTCTCTATATAATTCGTAAGGCCTCATTCATTCATGCATCATTAGCATTCACCACTTCACACTCGTTTTCCCATTTAAGACCTCACCCAGAACCCTTCTCTTTCTCTTCCTCTCCCTCGTCTATTTCTCTTTTTCATAGTAACAACAAACAACCATGGGTGTTCTGTCTCAGCCAGCATTGAACCAGTGTTTCCTTCTCAAACCATGCAAGTCCACGCCCTTGTTCACGGGGATTCCTGTGGTCGACCTCACCCACCCCGATGCCAAGACCCTCATAGTGAAGGCCTGTAGGGACTTCGGCTTCTTCAAGCTCGTCAACCACGGTGTTTCATTCGAGTTAATGGCCAGTTTGGAACACGAAGCCCTCAGATTCTTTAAAAAAACTCAGTCCGAGAAAGAAAGGGCTGGTCCCGCCGACCCTTTTGGCTACGGTAACAAGAGGATTGGCCGTAACGGCGATGTCGGTTGGGTCGAATACCTCCTCCTTAACACCAACCCTGACTCACCTAAATCACTCTTAGTTTTCCGAGAAAATCCTCACCATTTCAGGTAAAACAGATTCCCCTGTTTTTTCTACTCTCCCAAACACCCAACTCACAACATTTTGAAACAGTATCAAAACTTATTTTAGCAGTTGGGTCTAACAGAGTTTTTCAAGATCAACCGCAGATGTCTGCAAATTTTAACCTTTCAAATGCTGTGTGTTTGGTTTGTAGTTAAAGCTTGCAAACTAACCTTCAACACGAAATCCGTTTGTGGTTTTCAACACTTATAGCAGGGGTTAACTTTTTCTGTTGATTCAGACCCAAATCTGAAGTTTGAAGCGAGAAGTGACATTTTGTAGTGATGTGTTTGTGTTAATTTTCAGGACGGTGGTGGAGAAGTACATTACAGCGGTGAAGAACATGTGCTATAAGGTGTTGGAATTGATGGCGGAGGGGTTGGGCATAGGGCAGATGAATGCGTTAAGCAGGTTCGTGAAGGATGAGAAGAGTGATTCGTGCTTCAGGATGAACCACTATCCACCGTGCCATGAGGTGCAAGCACTGAACCGGAATTTGGTTGGGTTTGGGGAGCACACAGACCCTCAGATAATTTCTGTCTTGAGATCTAACAGCACATCAGGCCTGCAAATCTGTCTCCCAGATGGCACTTGGGTTTCAGTCCCACCTGATCAGACTTCCTTTTTCATCAATGTTGGTGACACTCTACAGGTACCATTAATACCTTCCTCCAACATTTTCATCTACATCTTTGATATTCCATGACTTCATTTATCATCCTAGACATATTTTTAGTTGAATTCATATTTAGATAAGATAAAAAATGCCTTTAAATTTTTAAATATTAATTAAGAAGGAGGAAACGTATCATCTGATGCCTGTAATCTCTTTCATGTTTTTTACTTGAACTGTTTATATATCTGAGTGACGTATCACCAAAAGGGTCACTTATTCTTGGTAAAGAAAACTAGAAAAGACCTTCCGACAAGCATATTCACAAGTGCATTTATTTAGTCATTGTTGTGGGTATGTGTGTTTGTGACCAAAAGGTGTGAAACCAAATGGATGCAGGTAATGACTAATGGGAGGTTTAAAAGTGTAAAGCATAGGGTTTTGGCTGACACAACGAAGTCAAGGTTATCAATGATCTACTTTGGAGGACCAGCGCTGAGTGAAAAGATAGCACCTTTACCTTCATTGATGTCAGAGGGAGAGGAGAGTTTGTATAAAGAGTTCACATGGTGGGAATACAAGAAGGCTGCGTACGCGTCAAGGCTAGCTGATAATAGGCTTGCCCCTTTTGAGAAATCTGCTGCCGATTAACCAAACACACCCTTCAAACTCTACTCATTTTTCGCACGTGTTATTACCCCACTTTTCTTTCTTTCTTTTTTCTTTTGGTGTGTATGTCTGTCTAGGTTTCAAACAGTTGACTCAACTTGACACATATAGAAAATGAATAGGTTAAGTTTTTTATCATCTCTTTTTGTTTCTCTTGTTTGATTGAAATGTAACAGTCACTACTCCCCTACCTTTGTATTGTCAATGGAACGCAACTCTAGTTACATCTTTTTGTGTTATCCCTATTATTATATACCAACTATTCTTTTTATATTCCTTCTGTGATGTATTCTATCGAGAATATAGGATAAACATGGGAAAATACCCAACTTTTTTTTTCTTTTTTCTTTATTCTGTTACACGCAGAAATTAGGACACACGTATGATAGTACTGTTTGAAAAATAAAATATAGTAAAAATGATGTTTTTTAATTAAAAGAAAAGTTTATATATAAAGTGAGAGAAAGAGAGGGTGAAGGCATGATCTTGGGCTCGTACTTCGGGTTATCGACCTTTACTTGCCACTTTGACGCATAGACCGTAAAGATGCACTCAACTGACGCGCAATTGACATCTGTGTATGTAGAGTATAGGTGTTGATAGATGCACCTTGCTGGCTTCCTTACGGCCACTATATTAAATTTATGCTTCACTCCTTCAAATCACAAACTATCGACATAATTCAGAAAGTACAACAAATTAGGTATTTGAACCACAAATTAGAAAATGGGTTTCAGTTCAAGCTTAATGGAAAGCAGTTTCGTGGTTTATGAAGTTGGATGGGATTTCAGTGACCAGTTAGTGTGTCGTTGTCGTAAGCTTCTTTTTCACCAAGGACTATCATGCAAATTATTATTTTAATGAAAAGATTTTGATTTAACCCCTTTTATTTATTTTATTATTAGATCAATGATTTTGACTTCGTGTTGATCTCTCCCACTAACATCAACAACATACACATTACCCTAATGGCAAATATAAACTAGTTTCTGATGTCTGCGTTTGATTCATGACAACAAACATTTTTTCATCTATTATTTCTTATTTTATATTGGTTAATTTTTTTTCAATAATAATGATATTTTTATTAATATCACACACAATTTTTTTTCATCGGCAATAACTTCAATTGTTTTTGTTGATGTTAGGTAGGGAAATTTTAAGCGGACAAAAAAAAAGCAAAAATACTCTCAATTGCTGACGTTAAAAAAAATTTACTCTAATCAATGTTAATCAAATAACTTGAAAGTAATCTCACTTAGTACCAATAAAAAAATTATTATCAACGTTAACTAAAAAGTATTAATACACTTATATCCAAAAATAGTTTTAATTAATATGGATAAAAGAATATCACTAATTAATATTTTTTATTACCAGATTTTTTTATATTGGATAATAATTAAAATAATAAAATTAAAATTTACCAATTTCGTCAATCTCGTCTAAATAAAACATTTAAAAAATAATCAATTTAAAATACAGAGAAATTTAAATTCAATAATTAACTTTCTTTTTTAAAATTTGAAATTTCTTACACACATGTTAAAGGAAATACAACATTGCAGCAACGAAATTCATTTCAAATTAAGTTTCATCTTTTTTATATAAAATAAAAATTTAATTACTCATTTACTTGTTGTAATTTCATACATCTTAGTCCGTACATATAGTGTTTTACGTTTTAGTTAAAAAATATATTTTAATCTTTATCATCACTTCAATAATATATATATATATATATATATATATATATATATATATTTTGATAATTTAATAATTGGTAGAAAAATTTTGACAAGAAATCACAAAAAAAAACTTTTTGGCAATTCAACACTTACCAAAAAAATTATAGTTGTTAAAAAAATCGCCAATTTTTTTGTGTGTATCTATTTATATCATAATTTTTAATGTTGCATGTGGCGAGAACACCTGGAGTTAAGAATTTTGTTGAAAATGATAAAAAGAAAAAGAAGTATTTCTCATATATATATATAGAGAGAGAGAGAGAGAGAGAGGGAGGGAGAGAGACCTAAGCCTTAGAGAACAAAGTTATGATGCCAAAAATAAACTATAATTACACTTTTTTGTTAATTAAGTACATTCATAGTGTTGTGGGATAGGTGGACAAATTTATGTTTACTCGAGTAACATTTTTCTTAAAGGAAGCAACGAAAAAACGTAAATAATTGGTCCTTATATATGGGTTTGTAGAACACCTCAAATTGGTTTTTGATATGAATGTAAAGGAAATCGAGAAAGAAGTTGATAGCAATAGGTGATGCATGATTAAAGAGATGGTGGCAAAGATGAATACGAGTATAGTTGTGATGTTGAAACTAAACGTAGAAATATCTGATCGATTTAGAGAACATTGTATGGTATGGTGATTTGGGAAAATTGGGCATGATTTTTGAAAAATGTTTATAAATATTCATTGCATTAATAGATGTTATCACCATGACTGCATTCAGCGTATGCATATATGATGATATGGGTTGAACTGATAGTGATATTACGTCGCGGCCACAAAGAATGGATGACGAACAAGCCATTTTTGATATGTCGATAAGCAAAGTTGACTATGTTGGTAGTTAGCTACGATAAACCCTATTCAAATCATCAATGTAGTTAAGTGGGGGCGTTAATATTAGAGCAATTGTAGTATAACCCACAACGATATGAAAGAGGGAAAAAAATAATATTATAATAGTTTGTCACTGCTCTGGGAGAGTTTCACGTGCTCCTATGCTAGGGTTTGTCAATTATTGCAGCCATTTTAGGGTTTACTTAGGATATGTTTAGATTGGGAGGGGATTCGAGTGGAAAATAACAGAAAGATAATACAAGGTGATGTAGTTTCGATTGGGAAAAATCAAATATATAAAAATAAAAAATATTTATCATTTTTTAATTATTTATTATAAATATAGTTTTTTTTAAATATGTTTTTTAATATCACGTAATCGATTATTTAATTATTGATAATTATGTAATATAGCTTTCATATTTCTGGATCTTAAAAAAAATGAGCAGATGTATATTTCTTGAAAAAATTAAAATGTTTATCTCGATTTTTATATTTTCTTCATACTGTAGTTTTTATGATCTTTTCCGCTAATCTAAATTAAAAATATGAATACCTAATTTAATTTTGTAAAATTAATTAAGATAAGAATTATATTCATTTATATATTATAATATTATTGTATTTTTAGTTAACGAAAATTAAAAATTAAAGATAATTAAATTTTAGCTATAAATATGTTGGTTGAGTTTATTTAAAATGTTTGCAAAGGGAAAAATGGTAACGAGACAAGTGTGCATTCATTTGATTAACAAGAACATTTATTTTTATTTCTTAAAAATAAAATAAAATAATTGTTGACTTTTGCCCAACAACTTCACAAAATGTATTATAAAAAATAAAACTGTGGTCTTTTCAAAAGAAAAAAAAATGTAAGTGATATTTTTGAAGTGCTTTTATTTTATGTCAAAGAAAGTGTGAAGCTGGCTAGAAGAAAGAGATTTCTTTGTCGAGTGTGAAGCAAAAATCATTTCCAAAATGGTAGTGTTTCTGGTTGAATTTCGATCGATCTCGATTCTAAGGGTGTTTTGGTCCTAATCAAAATTCTACCACGTAAGTTCTTTTTATTTAGGCTAGCAATTTGATTTTCAATCGAAAACGTGTGTGAGAATCGAAAACTACAGGATATCGAAAATGCTGTTTTTGGTGTTTTGTATTTAAAGTATCGAAAGCATTAAGACTATCGAATAAAAAAACAGAATGTTAAATTGCGAGGAAATGTAAAGTGCGAAAAACCCCAAATTTGCATGAATTGTAAATAGCAAGGAATCTAAAACAGCGCAAATATAAATGACAAGAAATCGAAATTGCAAGAAAAGTAAATGACAGGAAATCGAGATTGCAAGAATGTTAAATCATGGAAACCTAAATGTATAAACTTAAATTTGCATTGAATTGAAATGGACAAGGAATCGAAAATACAGAAACATAAGACTGCTGAATTTAAGTTGCATCAAAGTAAATTACCAAGGAAAATACAGAAAGCGGTAAATGTACTTAGTGAGCAAGGAAATCCAGATTGCCAGAAGCTTCATGGTGTTCGTCGTTTCTCCGGTAGACTTTTCACTACTGATTCTGTTCTCTGCCAATTTTTGCTCCCTCCCTCGTTCCTTCCTCCTTTGCTCTATTTATAGGGCATCCTTCAAGCCTTCCGAGAGCAGTTAACGCGACTGCTACCACGTTCTACGTGCGTGTGGCAGTTTTATCTTCTATAGTTTCCCACGTTCTCACGATCTCCGACTTTTTCCCATGATTTCAAAACTGCTCTTTATACGTGCATTCGACTTACTTCCTTTCACAATTTGGCCAAAGTCTTGATGTCCACATTGGCTTTCTTTACTCTCGATTCTGTATTTTTCGAGAACTTCGAATTGCTTACGATTCCTTTTTAACCCTGGTCTTATATGACTTAGTTTTTATTCGACAACAGTCATTTGATTATAATTCATTCGATTCTCGATTGTGTTTCTCGATGCTATATGCTACGTATTTCTAATTAGACATCGAATGAATTTTTGTTTATCTTATCGAGTCATATTTCTTCCCTTCGATTTCGATCGCTTTTCTCGATTTGCCACTAACAAAATGCCCCCTTGGAAAAATATAAATGATTTCTGTTTTATATTCTTTCAATATTCCCGCCTTAATGTTTGAAAGCCCACAGGATTTAGGGTTTAGGGTTTCTGGGGTTCTAGGGTTAAAAGGGTTTTAGGTTTCTTTTCCACTTTACGTCGCCGTTTCGTCAGTCTGTTGCCTTTCAGTACAAGTTACATTAATTACCTTTCCCTTCCGTCGTTTCCAACTCCCTAGACGATTTCCCTTTACCCTTTCCTTGATCTTTACTCTGGTCTTTACGCGAACTATCACCCTCTTTGCAATCTCATCTTCTCCCTTGAGCCCCTGCCTTCGTCCCTGTTACCTCATCCATTAACTCTTCCCTTTCTGTTTTCCTAAGCTCACTACAATGGCCAGCTCATCAAAATCTTCTGACTTTTCCGCTCCACCCCTTCCTTCACTACCCTCTAACCTGCTGGAGATCAACAACCAGAAGTTCGCTCCAGTTCCTCTGATGGAGGAGGCTTCCCGCAAGATTGCTTGAGACGCGGTACTTATTCCTTATCTTGTTGAAGGGGTAAATTTTGCTTTTGGGGGTCCTCTCAGTCCTATCGATGACACTTTTACTCCTCTTAACCTCTCAACTAGTCCGGCTTTGGTTCATCAACCTCGAAGTTAGGGTTGATTTTCCGAATCTTACCTCTAAAGTGTATAGAACGGGCCCTCCTTCCAAAAAGCCTCAATTTATTAGGTGGTTCGATAGGGTACAAGCCAAGTTTGGGAACCATTGGAGGGATATAGGAATTTTCGACTTTTTGCATCTCGTCTCGATGCGATTTATCATTTTTGGACATGGCGATGTTTTTGTACTGCGGTGCATTTATGGAACAAGGACCTACATGCTTTGGAGTTGCCTTGTGGCCCTCCGTCGCCTACCCTTTTCGAGATTGCGGCTATTACTGGGTTGAAGCCCATAGGGGAGACGTATATTAAAGGTGCATGTCCTTCGAGTAGTTCTTTGAGGTCCAAAATTGATTGGGAATCGAAGGCTTACGGACATTTCATTGAGAAACATTTTGTTGATGACCCTTCGATAGTCATTCTCGATGAAGAGCATGTAGCATTTTTGGTGTATTGGCTATGCACCCATGTATTTTGCCCCCGATCCATCCAAATCTCCTCCCATTTGTTTGATCTTGCATATGTCCTGCACATCGGTCGGCCTAGGATATGTTTGGCTAAGCTGCTATTAGCTCATGTGTATGCTACTTTCGACGAAGTCTGTCGAAATTTTGAACACACCTAAAGCGTCGGGGAACTTTTCAGGCCCTGTTTGGTTTGTACGGTTGTGGCTTACTTCGATTTTTGAGAGCGTCCTTCCTCGAATTTCTTACGTCCCCAGAGTGTAAATATAGAAGGGGCCCGATTATCCTCTCGTCACCCTCGCCATAAGTCTGACGAAACTACCTACTGTAAATACCTTCATTTTTTGTTAACCAGATTCACTTTCGACTCAACCTTGGCCCCATTTACTGTAAATCTTGGACGAACAAGTGGCCAACTTAGGGGGCCGATTTGGTTTAAATCAAAATTTCCTGCCTCGACTCCTGGGTTGCAATCGAAGCCGATAGGTGTATGGAGTAATTATTTGACACATGATGTTTTGGTGTCGGGTTTTCGATCGAAGGATTTTAAGCTTGTCACCTATTACCCCCGACTTTTCTCGAGACAATTTGGGTTGAGCCAATCTTTGCCTTTCTTCTCTCTCGATACCTCCCCAAAGTCCAAGTTAACTGAATCCACAATTAGTCGGGAGCTTGTTGAGCTTTTACCAAAAACCCCGATGCACTTTTACCCCTATGCTTTCGAGTCAAATTATTTATCTACTGTGGGTTTTTCTCAATGGTGGGTCGGTTGGTTCTCGAGTAGTCATGCTACTTTTGATGAAGTTCGACAGAAACTGACTACTCAACCTTCTCTTGTGTTGCAGGACAAGTCAAAATCGAAGAAAGGTACACACTTCCACTGTCTTCAAATATCTCGATTCGAGAACTTTTATCAAATATGTTACACCCCACTGAAATTAGAATCGACCTATTATGATGCTTGTTATCTCCTTATCCAATAAAACAGACATTAATCGATCGAACCACAAAATAATCAATCCTTTAGGTAGAACCCCTTTTGAAATGTATTGTCCAAATCGCCTTCCTACTTTTCCCACAGCTCCTTTTGGACTTGCCAAACCATTAACTCATCCAAAATGGGTTCGAGAATTAAGAACCCTCAGGGAAACACGTCGCCCAAAACCCAAAAACAAAGATATTTCTGTCTCGAAATTATCTTATTTCCCTTACCTTAACCTCCCTGAGGCTCTTTTGCCTTCCTGGCTTGTACATATCGACCGAGTCAAGATCTTGACTTCATCACCTTTTGGTGAGATTTTACTGCTTTCTTATACTTTTTTGATTTTGTATATTATAAGTTGATCTGTCTTCTTTTATTGGCAGTTTCGAAATCTACTAAGGTCACCGCTGTCGAGAAGGGTCAAGAGAAGGGACAAGAGGACTGGGGATCCTCGGGTGAGTCGGACCCGTCAGCCTTGATCAGAAAACGCAGACGCTCGGCCACCCTTCCTACTTCTTCGAAAAAATCGAAGGTTCCTTTTGACTTCTGTTTTGTCCTATTCATTTCTCTGTTTGATCAATCCATGTTCTTATACTTATCTTTTTTTTTTTTTTTATCTTCTATTTTCAGAAACAAAAATCGAAGAGTCCTCGATCTGTTCGACCAATTGCTCTCGATCCATTATCGACGGATTCTAATACCATCCCCACGACAACACCTGCCACCCGTTCAAGTCACGTAAGTTTCCTTCTTTATACAAATTCTATGTTCTTAAGTCTCGATAAA